CACGCTGAGGCGCATGCGCCAGCCCCAGCCGCCCAGGAGGGGAGGGGGCATGTGTAACGACGCTGCTAGAGATGCCTTTCGGGGCCCAGAGATAAAACTTCTGATGCCATGCGTGACCTAGTATAGTGTCCCCAGCTATGGGCGTGTCCACGTTGGAGCCAGGTGTGGTGTGGGCGCGAGAATAGCTCCGCCGTTCATGGAGGCAACCGATGCGAGTCGACTGGTGTGTGTCGTCGTGGTTTCGTATCAAGAATACTCACTCACTCACTGTGTGTGTGTGTGTGTGTCTCTGATGTCTGCAAGACAATGGTGCGCGCGCCCGCCCCGCCCGCCTCGGACAGCGCGGTGCGGCGGCTGGCCGCGTGCGCGTCGCTGCAGGAGTGAATATCTTACTGCTTACACCCTACAAGAGAGAGAGTCTCTCTCACCCTACCGTACCTCTAGCTGTACAATGGCGACTGCAGCGGGCTGCGCGATGGCGGGCTGGCGGCGATCGCGTCCTCGTGCCTGCGGCTGCGCCTCGTCGACGTCTCCAACTGTCGCCGCGTGCTCCAAGTTCCTGTCTCTGAGACTTGAACGGCGCCTCAGTCAACGGTATGGCAGGTGGAGTGCTCTCTACTGCCGCGGCGCCCCTGTCGGTTCGGAGGCGCCGGCGGCCGCGCGCTTGGTGCCGACGTCGACCGGCTGCTCTCGCGGCGCCGAGGCGTGCCGCTTCGGTCACGTCACGCGCGCTGCGAGGTGTCTTTTGGCATGTGCGCGCTTGGCATAGACGCCAGGAAGCTCGCCTTCCTTGCCTGCGGCCGCGGCGTGCGGGCGGGCACGCCAGGCTCGGCGACGCGCCGCGCGGGTCTTCGAGCTCGCGACCCGCGACGAGCCAGCATGGCTCGTCGCTCGACGGGAGCCTGCCCAGTATGCTCTTGGCATTCTGTACAGCCTCGCCAAGCTCTCTGGGAAGGTCTCCAGGGCCAGCCGCAATAAAAAAACCGAGCTCTGAGTCTGTCCTGCGGCCACAGCCGGCAGCACCTTGCACAAGCACGGGCGGGAGGGGCTTCTCCTGCGGAGTAGCGGAAGAATTTCGCGCCCCGAATGCGTTCGTTTCTTCATACATCTCAAAATAAAAAAATAAACAAAGAGCTCGCTTCCCGCCATCCCTCACTTCGGTCGGGCTGTATTTCTTTTTTCCCGCCGCCCGCTCCTTGGAAAGAACTCGCGTGCCGCTGACCATGGCCTCCCACCGCATCGGCGCGCGCGTCGCGGGCCTCTCGCCAGCGCAGCTGTGCGCCATCATCGAGGCGCAGGCGGGTGCGAGCGACGCCGCGCTGCGCGTGGCGGAGGAGCACGCCGCTCGGCTCGTGGAGCAGCCCGAGTGGGTCCTCTCCGAGGTCCTCCTCTCGCCGGACCTCGCCCCGCACATCCTCGCCCAGCTGCCGACCACGGAGCACGCCGCCAAGGGGACGTGCCGCGCGTGGCGCCGCGGCTGGAAGGAGACGCTGAAGAAGCGCGAGAGGCCGCGCATGGTCGTGTTTTGCGGCCGCGACGGTGGCGAAGGCAGCGAGGGCGAATTCCTCAGCTCGCTGGAGCGGTACGACCCGTCAACGAACGAGTGGGAGGAGGCGGCTGTGGCGCCGATGCCTTCGACACGAAAGTGTGTCCGCACGGCGGTGCTCGATGGCAAGCTGTACGCGGCGGGCGGGTACAGCGACGACGACGGCTTCCTCAGCTCGGTGGAGCGGTACGACCTGGCGACGAACGCGTGGGAGGCGGTGGCGCCGATGGCGACATCACGCGAGGGTCACGATGTGGCGGTGCATGACGACAGGCTGTACGCTGTGGGAGGCTTCAACGGCGAAGGCTCTCTCATCTCGGTCGAGCGGTACGACGCGGCGACGAATGCGTGGGAGGCGGTGGCGCCGATGGCGACAGCACGGGACTCTCACACCGTGGCGGTGCTCGGCGGCAAGCTGTACGCTGTGGGCGGAATCTACAACGGTGACAGCCTCAGCTCGGTGGAGCGGTACGACCCGGCGACGAACGCGTGGGAGGCGGTGGCGCCGATGGCGACGGCGAGGGAGATGTTTGCCGTTGCGGTGCTCGATAGCAAGCTGTACGCTGTGGGCGGCTGCACATTGACGACGGCACCCTCAGCTCGGTGGAGCGGTACGACCCGGCGTTGGATGCGTGGGAGGCGGTGGCGCCGATGGCGGAGGGGCGGGAGGCTCATGCCGTGGCGGCGCTCGACGGCAAGCTGTACGCTGTGGGCGGGTACGGCGGTGGCCGCCTCAGCTCGGTGGAGCGATACGATCCCGCGACAAACGCGTGGGAGGCGGCCGCGCCGTTGACGACCGCCCGAGTTTTTCATGCCATCACCGTGGCGTAGGGTTCTCTGGAGGGTGGAGGGCAGAGAGGCAAGCAAGGACTGTAACGGACCCCTCCTTCGCCAGTTAGCAGGTTGCCGGAGGGAGGTTGCAGGTTCTAGCAAGGTATCTGGCCCATAGACACTAGAGTCGCGCGCGTCGTCGAGTGAGGTGTGTTTTGTGTCCTTCTGGGCTTCGGGGTGGTGCTCACGCGACGCGCTATGACCTATGTGAACTGTGATGTGTGAGGGATCTGAGATCCGATCTGTGGTTTGTGAGGGTCCGCCCGCGGTCGCATGTTTATACCGAGGCGGTGCCCGGTGCCGAACCCGTCGACCTTAAGACAGCATTGCCCTGGGCGAGGGTAAGGGTAGCGGTAGGTGGAGTATTGGAGGAGTATACACCCCCCCGTCGGAGAGTACGGCGCAGTGTAAGGCCGCGCAAAGCATTACAAGAGAATTTCACAACAAAAGGCTCTCGCACAAGTGAAGAGAGAAGCGGAAGAACAGGGAGAGACGAACGTGAAGACGAAGCAGAGAATAGCGCAGACACGAGAGCAGCTGAGAGGGCAGACCCGAGGAGGACGCGGGGAGCTGATGTCAATATGCTGGAGGCCAACAGAAAAAGAATTACTCGCTTCGTCCAAGTGCCTGGGGACGTGCCGTCCTGTTGTGGTGGCGGCGTGCCGCCCTCCCATCCCTCCCTTGGGTTTGTCCGTTTTCTTTCTTTCTTTTTTGAGAGAGTGCGTTGTTCTTGTGTGGGTATCCGCTTTCTCTCTTTTTTGCCGTCCTCCCATCCCTCCCTCGGGCGGTGTTTTTCTTTCTTTCTTATCACGTCAATCGTCATCCACAGCTCCCAGGACCCACACCCAGCCTCCACAGTATCTGTAGCGCTTTAGGGTCTAGCGCTTGTGAAGCCCTCCCACCCTATCCGGATCTTGGCCTCTCCCGACTCGGTCGCACTCCTATATCAGCCACGCCCCCCTCGCCCCCCTCTCACTCCTGCGACCACACCTCGATCTTCTTGGGCAGCAGCTGGTCCGACAGGTCCTCTCCGTGGCCTAGGCAGCCGCTCTCGCCCTTGCCCCAGGTGAAGATAGCGCCGTCGCCGGTGCGGGCGATGCCGTGGTGGCCTCCAGCCGACACAGCGATGATGCGCTGCCCAGCAAAGGCCTCGAGCTTCTTCGGCAGCAGCTGGTTCTGCCCCAGCTGGCCATCGCCTCCCCAACCCCAGCTCCAGACAGCGCCGTCAGCGGTGCGGGCGAGGTTGTGGTCGCCTCCAGCCGACACAGCGAGGACGCGCTGCCCAGTAAAGGCTTCGATCTTCTTGGGCAGTAGCTGGTGCTGCGTGTCGCCGTGGCCCAGCTGGCCATCGCCTCCCCAGCCCCAGCTCCAGACGGCGCCGCTGCTGGTGATGGCGAGGCTGTGCAGACCTCCCGCTGACACAGCGACGACGCGCTGGCCAGCCAGAGCCTCGATCTTCTTCGGCAGCAGCTGGCGCTGCTGGTCGCCGTGGCCCAGCTGGCCATCATATCCAAAGCCCCAGCTGCAGACAGCGCCATCGGCGGTGATGGCGATGCTGTGGTACCACCCTGCTGACACGGCGACGACGCGCTGGCCAGCAAAGGCCTCGACCTTCTTGGGCAGCAGCTGGTTCTGCTGGTCGCCGTGGCCCAGCTGGCCAAAGAATCCACGGCCCCAGCTCCAGAGGGCGTCGTCGGCGGTGAGGGCGAGGCTGTGAGACATTCCAGCCGACACAGCGACGACGCGCTGGCCAGCAAAGGCCTCGATATTCTTGGGCTGCCACTGGTCCTCCTCGTCGCCGTGTCCCAGCTTGCCGTCCTCGCCGCTGCCCCAGGACCAAAGGGCGCCGTTCGCGGAGAGAGCGAGGCTGAAGTATCGTGACGCCGCCACACCAATCGCGCGCTCGCCTCCAAGGAGCGAAGGGAGACGGGTCGGCGTCTTCAGCTGCAGCACGCCCTCACCATGGCCGAGAAGGCCTGCAATTTCCTCCTCCTCGTCCTCCTCGTCCTCCTCGTCCTCCTCGCCCTCCTCGCCCTCCGCTGCCGCGCCGCACGACGAGAGCCGCCCCTCACCGTCGATGAAGACGCTGTGCCGTGCGCCCGCCGCCAGCCTCGCCGGCGGGTTGGACTCGCGCAGCAGCGCAGAAAGGCACAGCCACCGCACGGCGCAGCTCTCGCCCTCCGGCTGCGCCGGCAGCTCGAAGCCGCGCTCTTGCGCCCACAAGCGGATGGCCTCCAGCGCAAGCGAGGAGTGGAAGAGCAGCGAGATGGCTGCGATGCGAGCGATGTCGGCGGGGTCGCAGCGAGAGAAGGCGCGCACGAGGAGGTCCGTGGGGAGGTCGAGGAGGGCGATGGGCGGCGGCGTGCTTGGCGACGGAGCGGCGGCGGAGGCGAGGCGGCGCGAGCGGCGCCGTGGGGCAGACATCGCGAGGAAAAGAAAAACGTGCCGCAGTCCCAGGCACCGGACTGGCTCCTCCCATCCCTCCCTCTTCTCTTTTCTTTCTTGCTTCGCCGCAGAAAAAGAAGTATAGGGCGGCTCAGATCGGTAGCTCTAGGGACAGCGACAGCGTCGGTAGATCGGGGCCGGAGGCAGCGCAAGCAGACAGAGCACTAGAGACATGCGACGGAAAGAGTAATGATCCGTCGTGGAGCGATGTGCTCGATCGATTCATGGAATACAGCAGGGAGGTAAACGGGGTGTGCACAAGCGCACCCAACATGACAGAACACACGTTTGAAGAAGGGCGAACCAGGACGGACATCCGAGTGGAGGGGAAGGCCAGGACGCTCTACCTAGATGGCGCCGTCGGCGGTAATGGCGAGGCTGTGGCCGCCTCCAGCCGACACAGCGACGACACGCTGGTCAGCAAAGGCCTCGATCTTCTTGGGCAGTAGCTGGTGCTGCGTGTCGCCGTGGCCCAGCTGGCCAGAGTAGCCACAGCCCCAGGACCAAAGGGCGCCGTTCGTGGAGAGAGTAGCGAGGCTGAAGTAAAATGATGCCGCCACACCAATGGCGCGCTCGCCTCCAAGGAGCGAAGGGAGACGGGTCGGCGTCTTCAGCTGCAGCACGCCCTCGCCGTGGCCGAGAAGGCCAGGAATATCCTCCCAGTCCTCCTCGTCCATGATGCGCTTCCAGACGGAAAAGTACCGCCGCCTGCGCGCCAAGAGGAGCCGCTCGGCGCCGAGTTTGGCCGCGGCTTCCTCTGCTCGGGCCTGTGGCGCTACTCGCGCCACCCAAACTACTTTTGCGAGGTTGCGATCTGGTGGGCCTTTTACCTCTTCTCGCTCGCCGCCGGGTGGCCGACTCGGGCGACGGTACCCCGCCGCCGGCAGGACACGTCCCGGACATGTCCTGTGGACGCGTCCTGTAGGCTGCCGCTCGTCAACTGGACCATCTCGGGCGCGGCATTCCTCACTTGCCTCTTCGTGCTGCCGCACGCCTCGCTCGACGTCACCGAGGTCCTCCCCTCGCGAAAGTACCCGCAGTACGCAGAGTACCAAGCGACCGTCTCGCGCTTCTTTCCACTGCCGCCGCTGCCTGCCGGCGAGCGCGCGCCGATGCGTCCCGTCGACGCGGTCCTCATCGGCTGGTTCTGCGTCGGCCTCGCGGTCACCTTCTTGGTCGACATCGAGGCTGTCCTCGTGCAGCGGCCCGACCTGTACGGCCTCGACGCAGCGCACACGCCACTGTGGCCGCCAGAGCCGTGCGTCCGCGCCGTCCGGTGGTGGAGTGCCGCCGCCGACCCGCTGATGCACGCGCGGCCGGTCTGGTTCCGAGCTGCCATTTGGGTCGAGGTGCTGGTGCAGGCGCCCTTCTACGCCGTCGCCATCTACGCCTTTGTGCGGCAGCGCAGCTGGGTCCGCGTGCCCGCCATCGTGTACGCCACCGTCCTGCTCACCATCATGCCCATCGTCCTCGCGGAGCAGTACTTCGGACCCCACGCCTCACGCCGCCCGCTCCTCGTCACGGCCGTCTACGGCGCCTACGTCCTGATGCCGGTCCTGCTTCTCGTGCGCGTGTGGAGCGTGGACGTGTTCCCGAGCACGCCGCTCGCCAAGCGCAAGGCGGCGGGCCTGGCTGGCGGTGAGGCGGCGGCGCCAGCGGCCAGCCGCACGGCGAGTCCGCTCGCCGGCGAGGAAGCGGGCGTGAGCCTGCCCGGGGCGCGCAAAATTCCATTCCGACCATGCCACGTTTTGACATCATCATCACAACATGCACATGCACAAGCACAATCATCGAATCATGCACATGCACATGCGCACTTGCTACGTACAACATGTACATGTGCATGTTTGCGTACGGCAAAATAGTACTTGCGACCACCCACCTGGCTGCGATCAAAAAAAGCGGGTCGCAGGTGGCAGGAGTCGCAGGTGTCGCAGGTGTCGCAGGTGTCGCAGGTGCAAGAAATCACAGCTTACATATGTCATGCACATGTAAGTTTTACACAAATGGACGTCTCACATTCTCGATTCAGCATTCACAAAATGTCCACATTCGATTTACAAAGTGTCCCGCCTTCCCACACGCGCGCGCGCGCACGAAGAGAGAGACTTCATGCCTGTGCTAACGGCGACGTCGCACAGAGCAGCGCGTCACGTTGCTTTAGTCGTCATCGCTTCGATTTCCTGAGGGGTAGGGAGGCTCACATTGAAGCCGGCCATAGTATACCCGTTGTCTGCTTTTGACTGAGTAGTGACACCGTTTTGCGTGTTACCTTGCCAACCTCTAATGTCGTCGGTTGCCAATGACACCTTTACCCACCCACCAGTCTTGTTGCCGGTCGCGTGTTGAAGAGCAGTAGCCAGATGTGATCCACCCTCGTATGGTCCGCAGCCTACCACATTTTTACCCGCGGCATGTTCGCCGACGTAAACCACGGCATAATCTTGCCCATTGCGGCGTAGGCGCAAGATGGCTAAGAGCCCCGGAAAATGAGGCTGCAGGGAAGCTTTGAACAAATCCACAGGCACTCCTGCATGAGACTGGCACTTGAGGTCGAAGAGAGTGTCACTGTTCCTCAAGAGTGGTGTTCCAAGCGCCTGCAACCCACGAGGTCCAAACCCTCCGTTGTTAGGATGATCTACGATGCAGATGCTCGGGAGGTCGCCGAGAAACAAGTGCCTTGAGTGCAGCTCGCGCAGCTCAATCGCCTGCAGCTGCTTCGTGAGACTCGTCAGCTTCTCCTCGTACTGTGTATTCGCATCCGACAGTTGCTTGACCATTGTCTTCCCCGCGCGCAAGCCTTGCTCAAGTTCGGCGATGCGCTGAGTCGCGGCGTCGAGTTGCCGCGCCATCTGCTGCGAGGCCACATCCACCAAGCCCTGCGCTTCCGCCAGCGTGATGTGGCGCTCCGCTCTTGCGAAGTCCTCGCGTTGTCTGTCTTGGGCCTGCTGTAAGCGAAGCCGAGCTTCCGCCACCTTCCGGATGAGAGGCCGACGATCTGCAGAGAAACCCTGTGGTGACTCTTCCAATTGACCCTCAATGTCCGTGAAGTCCTCTCCGAGGTTTTCGCGCGCTTGTGCGCACAAATCGTAGTACGTTTTAGAAAGTGCATCGATGCTGTATGCGTCCGTGATTGCAGCGTGCATCGCAAAGAAAAACACCTGGGCACACCGCACCGCGCCCAGATCAGCGCCGCGCCGCCTATCCACGCCGCGCGTGTACATTCGAGGCCCGGGCGCGCGCACCCGTGTACGAGCAGCCGAGCGAGCCGAGCCGAGCGCGAGGCGGTGCGGCAACGCGCTTCCGGCGCGCCGCCACCGGGTCCACCGACAGCAGCCCTCCTGCGGGGGAAGGAGGGGCGCCGGGAGAGGCGCGGCATTCGTCCGGCAGCGGCACTCCTCCTCCTCCGCCGCCGCCTCCCGGAAGCACCGACACCGGGTCGTCCGCTGGCGGCGCAGGGAGGCGTCCCGCCTGCAGGGAGCGGGACGCTGCTGACAAGTCGCCCGGGCGGGGGACTGGGCGCGGCGCCCGCCCCGCGCCTCGGCTAGAGCTCGGCTGGGTCTCGGCTGGATCTCGGCTAGATCTCGGCTGGATCTCGGCTAGATCTCGGCTAGATCTCGCGGCGACCGCCCCGCGCCTCGGCGGCGACGGCGGCGAGGCGGAGGGCGGCCTCGCTGGCGGCGGCCGCCTTGGCGTGCACCCGGTCGAGGCCTGCGTGTGGAGGGGGGGGGTGTGGGGTAGGGTGGGGTGGGTGGGGGTGGGTGGGGGAGGGTGGGGTGGTGGGGGTAGGATGGGGGTTGGGGGCTGGCTCTGGGATGGGCTGAGGGGAAGGGGGGCCGGGCCGCCGTGTGGCGGCTGTGTGCACGCGGGGCAGGCCGCCCCCTTGGGGACGGCGATCCGCTCGGCTTCCCGCATCTCGGGTGTAGCTCGGGTGCATCTCGGGTGCATCTCGGGGTGCATCTCGGGTGCATCTCGGGTGCATATCGGGTGCATCTCGCGCGCCCTTGGAGACGGCGAGCTCTGCGTCCCACTGCTCCGTGGATGCCGCCTCCTTTTGCTTCTTGAGCGAGGCGAGCTCCTGCACGTAGGGAACAGGGGAGGGTGTGTGTGTGTAGGTGGGAGGGAGCCGGAGCTGCTGACGGCATCGACCGAGGGGACGTTGCTCGTTGGGGCGAGGCGCGAGGAGGGCGGCGACTTCAACCGACTGTGAAGGACCCGGCGCCAGACGACGCAGGGCAGACGATGGGGTGGTGGAGCCGGCGCGCAGACGGGCCTCCCGCACCGGCCATTGTCGATGAACCTACCTTCGATGTGGCCGCGGTGTGGTGGTCCGCTTCGCTGGCTTAGAGCCCACTCCAGGCAGCTGCTGCCCACTGCCGTTGCGGTGATCTGTCTCGTCCTCTCTTCGGCATGGAACCGCTGGCGCTGGCGGCTCACCACCCGCCAGGCGATGCGGCCGCGGCAGCGCTCGCGGAGGCCGAGCTTTGAGAGCTTGCGCCACCTGCCGCGCGAGGGCCGCGCGCTGCTGGCGGGCGCCGTCTGCCTCGCCCGCTCCGCCGTGACGCAGTACGCTGTCAACCCGACCTCCGTCATCGAGGAGCGTGTCGTGATTGCGATGGTCGGCCTGCCGGCGCGCGGCAAGTCGTACCTCTCAAAGTCGATCGTCCGCTACCTCAACTTCGTCGGCTGCCCGGCCCGGCTCTTCAACGCCGGCTCGCGTCGCCGTGACGCCGGCCTGGCAGGCTCCGGTGCCGCCTTCTTCGACGCTGCAAACGAAGACGCCGCGGCGCAGCGAGAGGAGATCGCAATGGACACTCTGGAGGAGCTGCTGCGCTGGCTCAAGTTCCTGCCCTCCAACTCGCTCACCGCCCTCTCCGCTCTCGAGCAGAACCAAGAGCAGGCCGGAGAGCAGTGCCGGCGCGGCTGCGTCTGCGGCGTGTTTGACGCCACAAACACCACCGTGCTGCGCCGGCAAAAGGTTCGCGAGCGGTGCGCGCGCGAGTGGCCTCCGGTGCGGCTGATCTTTGTCGAGTCGATCTGCGCCTCTAATTAGTGAATCACTGTTCGTCCTCGGCAGGTGCGGCTGATCTTTGTGGAGTCGATCTGCACCGACACGAAGCTGCTGCTGCGAAACTACATGCTCAAGGCGTCCAACGACGACTACAAGGGCTCCGCGCCAGAGGCTGCTCTGCAGGACTTTCATAGAATGTAGAGGAGCCCCCCGTTAATACAATACAATCTAATCCGGAGGCTGCTCTGCAGGACTTCCTCGCGCGAGTGCGAAACTACGAGGAGCCGCACCAGCACCAGACACTTCCTAGACATTTCCTAGACATTTCCTAGGCACTTCTCTTCCGGAGCCGCGCCAGCACCACCACCACCACACGCAGACGCTAAGTACGAATGGGGAGACACCGACGCCGCGCACCGTCAGCAGGCGGTGTACCAGACAATCACCGACGCCGAGGGGCCGGAGGAAGAGGACGACGAGACCTGCCCACCTCTGCTAGGAAGTGTCCATGAAGTGTCCGGGAAGTGTCCAGGAAGAGGAGGACGAGACCTTCCACCGCCTCGAGGGCGACCGGCGCATCTCGTCCACCGTCGACGACCTCTCGCCGCGCGGAGATGGCGAGAGGCAGCCGAGAGGCGGCAGAGATGCGGGCGAGAGGCAGCCGAGGGGCAGCCGAGAGACAGCCGAGAGGCAGCCGAGAGACAGCCGAGGTGCAGCCGAGGTGCAGCCGAGGTGCAGCCGAGATGCAGCCGAGGTGCAGCCGAGGTGCAGCCGAGATGTGCCGGCCATAGTTACGAGGCGCGCCCACGACTAGCTAACGGCCCTCTCCAGCACTGTCCTCGGTGTGAGCTGCTCTTCAGGCTAGGCGAGCCGCGCCCTCCGAGATCATCTCTCCCCCATCTCTCCCTCGCCTCTCGTAGGCGAGGCGGCCGAGCCGCTCCCTCCTCGCCACGGCAGCAGCAGCCTGCGCTCCTCGGGCCGCCCGCTCGTGCGGCAGGGCTCCTCTGGCCTGGGCCTGCGCCCCTCGGCCCCTCGCGAGCAGGCGGAGGCGCCGCGGTGCATCTGCCCTCCCTTCATTAATCATTAGTTAGTATTGATGAATGATCAGCAGGAGGAGGCGCTGCCGTACATCCAGATCGTCTAATCAAGAGTGATTAATTCTCAATGATTAATCAGCAGGAGGAGGTGCTGCGGTACATCCAGATCATCGACGCGGGCAAGAAGCTTGTCGCGTGCCGCGCGGACGGGTACGTCCTCTCCAAGGTGGTGGCGCTGCTGCACTCGATCCACTAATACTAATTCATATGATAATTAATTATTAATCAAAGGTGATGGCGCTGCTGCACTCGATCCACCTCGGCCCTCGCACCATCTGGATCGCCCTCGCCGGCCAGACGCTCAACGACGAGCGAGGCGAGCGGGGGTGGTGGTGGTGGGTGGTGGTGGTGGGGGGGGGGGGGGAGGGGAGGGGGGGGGGCTTAGCTCTCCCGCCGCGCAAGGGCGGCGTCTCTTCACACCTCGGGGCTGTGAGCAGGCGTGCTCGGGGGTGACACCCCCCTCTCCCGCGCCGGCGCCGTCTGCGCAGAAGCCGCGTCGGCCGTGCGGGCGGCGTCTCTTCACAGCTGCGGCTGTGAACAGGGCTGGTCTACTCGGAGGCGGTCTGCGCCTTCGTCGCCGCGCGCGAGCGCTCCAGCGAGCTGCGTGAGAGGGGCTGCGCGGGCCACGCGATTGTGATGACGGGCACGCGAATTAACAATTAATTAATGATTAATGATTAATTATTAATTAAGGCCACGCGATCGTGATGACGGGCACGCTGCGCCGGTACGACCAGCTGACGCAGATCTTGCTGAGCAAGCGCGAGCCGAACGCCGGAGCGTGGCGCGGCGTTGCGGCGTCTCTTCACGCGCGCGGCTGTGAACAGGTACGAGCCAAAGGACCGGACGGTGCTGCGGCTGCAGCGGCTCAACGAGCTCTGCGCAGGCCAGCTCGCCTCGCTCTTCCCGATGTCTGAAAGAGTGAATGAGCGGCTAGTGAGTGAGAGCAGGCCAGCTCGACTCGCTCTCTGCGGGGGAGATGCGCCGCTCCTTCCCGGGAGAGTACCAGGCGCGTGCGTCGGACAAGCTGCACTACCGCTACCCGGGCGCGCGGAGGCCGCACCCCGGCCTTTCCTGTCCCTCTCCTGGACTTTTCCTGGACATGTCCTAGGTGTGGGGGGGGAGTCGTACCTCGACCTGATCATGCGGCTGCAAGAGGCGAGCCTCTCTCCCTCGAGCAGCACCGAATTCAGAGTTCTTCTTCATCAATGACTGATTACGGTATGACGAATTAGGCGATCCTCTCCCTCGAGCAGCAGCGCTCCAACGTGCTGCTGGTGGCCGACCGCGCCCGTGTCGTGAGTCGTGGTTACCTGCTGCTGACCGGCGCATCACCGATGGACAGGTGGTGGACCGCGCCGTGGCGCGTGTGCTCATCGCCTACTTCCAGGAGGTGGAGAGCCACGACCTGCCCTTCATCGACGTGGCGCCGGGCGTGCTCGAGATGACCCGCTCCCACTCCGGCTTCAAGTACACGCACTTCGACATCGCCGCCGGCCTCGCCACCACCGCGTCCGGGCCGGGCGGCGCTGAGGTGCTGCCGGCCGTGCGCAGTGGTTGAGAGCCAACTAATAGCAGTGACTAGTGGCTACTCACTGCTCATTAGGTGCTGTCGGCCATGCGCACCTCCAGAGGCGAAGGCGCGACACGGGCTCGGCCGGGCGCACTCTGTGTCATTATTACCGGCGAGTGATGACGGACTAGACGGGCTCGCGGGCTCCTCCTCGCTCTCGAACCTCGCCGAGCTGCAGTACTCGCCGTCGATGCGGCCGATCCAGCGCCGGTCGGGAGAGGCGAGGCTCGTCGGAGATTTCGTCAACTCTCGAAGCAGCGCGCTTCACTGCTCAACTCTTCGACACGCCAGGCGAGGCTCGTCGGAGACCCGTCGCCGCGCAGGCCGAGCGAGGCGGTCGGCGAGAGCGGCGAGCCAATCAGCCGCGGCGGCGGAGGCGGAGGTGGAGGTGGCCGCGGAGGAGGCGGCGGCGGCGGAGGAGGGGGAGGGGGAGGGGGAGGGGGAGGAGGCGCCGAGGGGTGGGGCAGCCGTGGGGCGGACGGGGCGTGCGGCGGCGACGAGGCCCAGTGGCAGCGCTCCGCGTGTGGTAACTAACCTCCACTCAACAGTTACCCCCATCGATGATGAGTTAGGCCAAGTGGCAGCGCACGGCCTGCAGCTGGAGCAGCGCGAGGGGGTCTGCGCCGAGGTGAGGCGCCGCCCTCGGGGGGGAGGCGGAGACGCGCGGCCTCTCCCTCCCCGAGGTTGGCACTCGCCGGCGCGCCTCGCGTGGGCTCTTGCACTCTCTGCATGGGTGCGTTAACTCTCTCGCCGGCGCGCTCACGCTCTCCGACGTCGTTCTGTTGAGAAGAGAGTACTGGGGCAGGTACTGTCGTGCATGTGTTTGGTTCTCGTGCACGTATACGGTATTGTCGGAACCGAATTCGCTTGCGTCCGCAAAACAATTTCTTTTCGCCACACCAGCACGCGATTCACACGACAGACAAGGCGCGGGGGGCCGCGTCGCCGAGACCGTACTTTTGTGCGGCTCACCAAGGACCCCGCGGCGCAAAAGGTCGCGCCCGTGGAGGTGGCCTGACGCTATCCGATTCGTTTTTTTAGATCGAGTATCTCCACAAAAGGAGAGAACGCGCTGCACCCAACACTCGTTCTCAGCTCACCTCCACACCCTCTACCCCCGCCCGGACCCGCCCGTGCGCCCGAGGCGGGTCGCAAAGTCGCATGCTTGGGCGGTCGGCCCGGTATACTCGACGCCGTGCCGCCCGATCCAGATGTAGTCCTCAGCATAGGCTGTCCGCACGAGCTGCCGCAGCGAGTCGTCGTAGCAAGGGGTGGCTTGCGGGGACAAACTGTGTCTCGTCAGCGCGCTGCGTTGATCATGCGCGTTCTTCGTCGGCAGCGACTGCAGGTCCGTCACGTTGAGCGCGAGCGCGACGCGCGCAGGGAGGCTGCCAACGTCCTCGAGAGGGTGCACGAGGTCGAACTTCAGTAGATGGAGCGCGCAGTGTTGTGCTTGCGAGCGAAGGTGCGGCTCCATGGTACCCACGCCCTCGCGTGCCAGCGCTGCTGCGTAGGCATGCATCGAATGCCGTACGCTGTCGTTGGAGATGTGGAGAGCACTGTTGTAAAAGCCTGGCCCAGGGATGCGCCCTTTGACTTTGTCCTCGTACCATGACACAAATCGGGCCAGCGGGTCGCGCACCAGTGCCACTCTGTACGTGCTCGGCTGCGCCAACGCTTTTGAGACCTCCGCAATAGTGAGAGCATGGGCTCCCATACTCTTGATCGATGAGGATCCCGCCTTGGGTATGGCACACATCACCACCCCATCTCTGTCTGGGGCGCGGGAGGACCAGGCGGTCATCGCATGCCATGGAGTCCAGCTTGGACGGCCTCCCGGATCATACGAGGTCGACGCCAGGGCGGCTCTCAGCGCAGCTTCGTTGTCGGCGGCCGGGTATTTGCGGAAGACGGAGGCGCAAAAGGCGGTTGCAGGCAGAAGGGCGAGGAACAGGTAATCTGTTCGGTGGCGAGACGCACGATTCGTCGCCAGTCTCCGAAGCATGAGTCGTGAAGGCGTCTTGGCCGGGCCAAGGCCTCTGTACCCGGGTACTGTGGTCGGCGGCGTGCCATCATCTCACCGGAGGTTTTCTTCTTTTTTGCGCCTTCGTTGTCATGTTTTCTTCTTCCGATCTCGAGTTCTATTTCTTCGTGCGTGTTGGGTCCGGGGTTGTGTTTTTGAAGAGAAAAAAGTCCGGCGTAGGGCCGCATAAGTTCGGGAAATCGGGGGACCCGACCCACTTCGCCACAGACGGTCCCGCGCCTCGCCGCTATGCCTCTCCTTTAGCCCCTTGAACGATTTTTTTCTTCTCTTCTCCCAAGTTCGTTCGCTTCGCGCGCTTACCCGACCAGTGGCCCGAATCTCGCTGGCTCGCTGTTGCGCGTGGCTCGCCGGGCACATGCTTGACGCGGACGCCTCTCCGTACGTACCGTACGAGCCTCCCTCCTCGCCCCCCGCAGCGCCCCCGCCCGCCCAACAGCCATTCTTCTTCGTTCGTCCGTCTCTCGGGCGAGGCCCTCGCTCGGCGTCGTGAAGCTAACTGGGACCGAGCGGCGGCGGCGCCGCTGCCACCGCCGTCACTGCACTTGGGCCGTCGGCTGGGCCGGCGCTCAGCGCGGGAGCGGCCACCACTGCCGCCGCGTCGCCCGGCTCGTACACGAGCGGCAGGTCGCGGCACGTGAGCGTCGTGCGCGTGTAGTTGCGCGTGGCGGTGGCGATCCACTGCTGCTCCGCGTTGTAGTTGTGCACCCTGTCGCTCCTTGACGTAGTCTTCCTCGGAGCGCTTGCACCGCGACATGTCGAAAAAAGGCCGCCCCGCCTCGTCGAGCTGCGCAAACTTGTACTGCGAGCAGTGCGTGCGCGCACTCATGCCGAAGCCGAAGAGGCGCGCCTCGTCGCACACGTGTAGCGCGAGCAGCAGCGCGACGAAGCCGGTCGTCGGCCGGATGAAGCGGCCCTTGGGCATCTTGGTCGAGTCCATCAGCGCGCGCGCATACTGGTCTAGCCCTGCCGAAGGAGGCGCGTGACGTGTCACAAACCGCGCGGGGTTCGGCAGCGCGCTCCGAAAGATCGATCGCAAGCGCGAGGCAAGCGCCACGGGCAGGGGCGGGAGGCCGTCAGGCAGACAATCCCGTTCGCCCCGAGAGAACCCCGGCAGCATCGCCGGCGACGGGCGCGCGGGAGCACGCATCGAGGCGGAGGCGCACCAGGGAAGGTACGGTCCCACCGCTCCGACACGCCGGCTAGCACGCGCGCGCCGCAGTGCTTGCACGTGCGCCGGTCGTGGGGCCCGCTGACGGAGCTCAGCTTGGGCGAGAAGGTGAGGCAGCCGGGGTAGTCGTGGTTGGACGTGCACGTGTAGATCTGCGACGAGGTGGCGTCGCTTGCGTTGATGGAGCCGAACGCGCCATGGAGCTGAATCGGGTCGACATGTACGTCCGTGCGCGAGCCGATGTAGGCGCGCAGCTCGGGCAGGACCGGCGCGTGATTCATGCGAAAGACGAGCTCGCTCGCGTCGATCAGCGACCCCTCCGCCGCGTCGAGCAGCTTCGACGACGAGCCGACGACGGCGCACGTGCGCGCGCGCTGGTATGCAAGCGGCACATGGGCGCGGCGCGCCAAGTGGGTGACCTGGGTCAGGTTGGCCATCTTGAAGAGCTTGGTGCGATGGAAGTAGGCGAGATTGTCCACGGGCGCCGAACTCAGGACGGGCGAGCGCAGCAGCCGACCCTCGCAGCCAACCGGGCGCGGCGGCGGTTTCTTGAGCGGATCGACAAAGATGCCGGGGCCGCCCACTAGGTTCGCGAGCATGGCAGCGCGATTGGGCATAAGCTGCCGCGCCTCATTCGACGGAGAGGGCCGCGCGCCCTGCATCCACGCCTGGGCGGCCACCACGGCCTCCGCGGCGTGGTGCGGCATATACACACACACACACACATACACACATGAACATGAACCGATGCACATCCTGCGTTTGAGACGCCGATTTGTCGAACCTTTTTTTCTTTTTTTGAGTTGTTTTTTCTTTGTGAGACCGCGCCCTTGTCGTGCCAGTGTGCTTGCATTAAGAATTCTTCTTTGTAAAGTACTCGAGTAAGGATATGATGGTGGTGCGCGTCCTTCCGGCGTAATGCCGTCCGCATGGATCTGAGCAAAAGCCTCGCTCATCAGTGTTGAGAGAGATTTTTAGCCATACCAAACAACTCTAACACTCACACGTCATTTGGGGCCTGGAGCCCCTGCAAAATGATGTTTATGGAGGTTTAAAGTTTGCGGGGGGGGACAGCTTTGGGCGGTCGACTTCAATTTTGGGGCCCTGTTCACGCGCGCGCGAGACGTGCAGACAGGGTTGCCAGGTGAGAGCGAATGGCGCGGTTCACGCCTCGCACAACAGAGAGAGAGATGCGCTCTGCATGGTGGGACATAAAAGAAAGCGAGTAGGAGTACTCAACTAAAAATCTCTTGGAGCACTTGGAGCATGCGCCCTGTTCACGCGCGCGAGAGACGTGCAGACAGGGTTGCCAGGTGAGAGCGAATGTGGCGCGGTTCACGCCTCGCACAACAGAGAGAGAGTCAGATGCGCTCTGCATGGTGGGACATTTGTTTGTTTTGTGTTGCCAGTGGGCGTAATGCCGAGAGAGATTTTAGAAAACCAACAAGAAATCACGACTCTCGCAGTCATTTGGGCTCGGCAGCTTGTCAGCCCTCAGCCGAAGCTGGGGCCGGTCCCGTAGCCGAGAGAGCCCGCGCCGATGCATGAGTTCGACGCGGTCGGGGGGGCCTGCGGAGAGGCCAGCGAGGCCGCATGGATCTGAGCAAAGACAAGGGTGAGCGAATTCTTTTTTTCTTGTTTAGATTCTCGGCTCCCGTGGTGTACCTGTGTTAGTGCCAGTGCGCGCCAGTCCCGTGCAGTGTTGTTCGAGGAAGCGTCCTCAAATTCTTTTTGCCAAGGCGGGACGCCATGCAACGAGACTCTGATGCAAGCATTTGCTGATGCAAGCATTTGTGCTACAGGAGTTCCTCAGTCAGCCAAGATGCGTGCAACGGTGCGCCGAAATGAACGCCTCCATTTCCTGCGCCTGGTCTGCCACCGTCTTCGAAGAACTGGCTGTGGACGGGGCTGGACCTGCACACTCGGCAGCCTGCGGTAGCTCATACCGCCGATGCTCCGCCTGGCTCGGCCTTTACCGCTGGCCCGTGATATGGCCGGACGCGACCGCACTCGACGGTGGTGGAACAGCCTCGCGCCGGTGGTACTGTGCGAGTGTGGACGGATTCACACCCGTGCCGCAGCACTGGAGAGCCGGCGAGCCGGACGGGACCGACCGCAATGACGGTCACGTCGGTCACTGCGCCGCGGTCGGCGCGGACGGCTTGTTGACCGACGCAAGCTGCGCATCGCGCCACCAGTGCGCGTGTGAGCGCCGGGGCGGTGGCCAGGCCGCGAGCTACTCGGAGCGGATGGCGACAATCATGCACGTCGAGATGGAGGCGCGATGGAGGGCGTGGCTGCCGGGGCTCGTGGCCATCATATTGGCCGCGACGCTCCCACCGGGTTCGCTCCGGCCTCCTCGCCCACCACCCTCCTCACGCCTCGGATGTATCTCGGCTGTATCTCGGCTGCATCTCGGCTGCTGCCTCGGAACTGCAGGCCTGCTCCTCGTCCACTACCTCCTCCGCCGCACCGCTTGCGGCCGCTCTTGGACAGAGCTTCCGTCGCTGCGCACAACGGCGCGGCCGGTCAGCCGCTACGTCGGCTAGATCTCGGCTGCACCTCGGCTGCACCTCGGCTGCAGGCGCGTCGCACGACAGCTGGGCCCGAGAGCGGCGGCGGTGGCAGCCGCGGTGGCAGCGGCGGCGGCGGCGGCGGCGGCGGCGGCGGCGACGGCGACGGTGACGGCGGTGACGGCGATGGTGGTGACGGCGATAGTGGCGACGGTGGCGACGGTGGAGTCTCCGCCAACGCCGCTCGCTCTCCCGCCGGCGCTTGTGTCAGCGGCGCAAAGCGCGGCGTCGGCTTCCTTGCGGCGGAGGAGGACAGCGCTCCGGCGCCGCATCTAGGATCGCTGGGCCTGCGCGCGCGCCTCTCGACCGCCTACGCGGCGGAGGTCGAGATGCGCGCGCGGGTGTGCTACATCATGCTCGGTGTCGGCTGGTTCCTCTTTGTGGCGGGGTGGGGCCCACTGCCGCTAGTTCGGCTCGAGCCGGCCGGCGTGATGCTCGGCGGCGTCTTCGGCAGAAACATGGTGCTCGAGGGGTCGGCCGCGGCGCTCGGCCCCCTGCTGCTCGCCCTCTCCCTCCGCCCCACCGACGCGGCCAACGTGCGAGCCGCCTCTTGGCTGATGATGCTCTTCACGCTCTCCCTCGCGACCATCTTCATGCAAGTGGCCGCCGGCTCGTATTGGGCGTACGCGAACGGCTCCCCAGCCCCCCCCTTCCTCGTCCGCTCCGCGCCGCGCCGTTCGCCCCTCGTCGCCGCGTTGGGCGGCGTCTCGCTGCTGCAGGCGCTGGCGCAGCTGCTCGCCGCCGCCGCCCTCTTTTCGTCGCCGCTGCAGGTGCCTCGCAGGGCGCTGACGCGGCTGTGGCACACCCTCCGCTGCCTCTACGCAACGCAGAGCGTGCTGACTCTCCTTCAGCTGGGCATGGCGCTGCAGCTGGACCCCTCCTTCAAGCACAGTCTATTCTTCGCGCACAGAGTCGTTTGGTGCGTCAACGCCATCGCCGGCGCCGTTGTGCTCACCGCTCGGAGGAGGCGCCGCATACAGGCCTCCATCGCCCGCGCGCTGCTGCCGGAGGATCGGAGGGGTCTCGCCGCCGTCGGCGCACTGATGGGCGGCAAGACGTCCGCCGCCGCGTTTGCCGCCGCCGCCGCTTCCTTTCGCTCCCTCTCCTTCCGCCAGATCCGGCCCGGCGATTTGGCGAGCTCGGCCGACAGCGGGCTGCACGCGCTCACGCGGCCAGCGAAGCTGGGCGAGGTCGACGCCTTCGTGTCGCACAGCTGGCTTGACGACGGCGAAGCCAAGTTCGAGGCGCTTGCGGCGTGGGCGGAGAGCTTTGAGAGCGAGCACGGCCGGCCGGCGTGCGTGTGGCTTGACAAGGCGAGACGTCACCCCAGCACACCCCAGATCCCCAGATAGATATCCGATGCTCGAGAGCAGCTGAGAGCAGCCGAGAGCAGCCGAGAGCAGCCGAGCGTGCCGGAGCGTGTCCTCCCATGGCTTTGCCGTGTACGCAGGCGTGCATCAACCAGGAGCACATCGAGGCTTCGCTCGCCGGGCTTCCCGCGTACCTCTCGGGCTGCCGCTTCCTGCTCGTGCTTGCGGGGCCGTCCTACTTGCGGCGGCTCTGGTGCGTCGTCGAGGCGAGACTTCTCGCGTGTGGCTACCGCAGCTTTGGCCACTCCGGCGATCTCGGGTGGTTCCGCCTGAACAGGTGTTTGTCTTCTCGCTGATGACGCGCGGCTCCGCCGAGCGCATCGTCGTCCTTCCTTTTGGCGACCACAGCCGGCACACGCCCGCGACGCGTCCACGGCGCACCCGCGCGCTCACGGGCGCGGGCAGCCGCGATGGTGGCGTGGGTGGCGCTGACGCAATTCCGAGCGTCAGGACCCTCGCGGGCTTCTCGCTCTCGGCCGCGTCGTGCGCGATCAAGAACGACGAGCACCGGCTCCTCGGCGTGATCGAGGCGGCGTTCGGCGACCACGCTTCCTTCGAGTCGCCGTTCCGTGCGCTCCTCTGCAGCCGCGTCTTTGGTCCGTCGGCGCAGTGCCGCGGCTCGAGAGCCGACGGGTCGGGCAGCTCGCGCAGCGAGAGGCGTGCGGGCGCCGCCACGGACGGCAGCGTGGATGGCCGCGGCCGCGTCGCGCGCGTCTGCCGCTTGCTGCGGCGCGTTCTCTCCCCGGCACCGGCCGAGAGGCGCAGAGGGGAGGGGGGCGGTGTGGAGGCAATGATGTGCCGGCAGGCGAGTGGGAGTAGGAACTCACTCGTGTAGAAAGTAAACGGACACTTTGGCACGGGACGGCTATCTACCAAGAAAAAGAAAAGCGGACCCCCAACAACACAGCACAACACACACGGACGCTGACGAGCGTGTGACATGCCTCTCCCAGTGCGTCCTCGCTTCTCTCGCAAGTGGTGGCGCGCGCACGGGCCGTTGCGCTCCACGACACCTGGAATCTCGCCGCCCTCGGTGCGCTCAACGTCGCGCACGTCGCGTGGTGGTCCGGTGCAGCGGCGACGCCAGAGGTGCTCTCCCGGCTGTTTCACTGGCCGAACGTGACGTACATCGTGCTGGATGTGGTGTGGCTTGTCGGCCTGCCCGAGCAGCCCAGCTGGCTGAGTGTCTTGTGAGTTTGAGTGTCTGTGTGTCGCTCGCTCGCGCGTCGGTCCTCTTCTGTCCCGCGTCCACCCAGGATACTCTACCGCGTTGGTGTCCCAGAGTTCGAGCCTGACTGTTCTTCGCCTTTCTATCAGCACTGCCACTGGGCAAGCTCCGTGCACTCGATCGCCCTCGCCGAAGGCAAAGAAAGAAAGAAAGAAAACGGACAACCCAAGGGCGGGATGGGAACGCCGGCAGATTTTTTTGAGCTTAGCCTTCGATGTAATGAAACAACGCAAGGCGGACATGGCATATCGCTCTCGGGCCCACAGACATCCCGCACACTCGCCGCACACCCGCCGCCCCCGCGCGCGCCCCACCCCGGCCGGGAGAAAGGGGAGTGACAGTTTGGGACTCGCAAGCCCGCGAGTATGTTGAGTCCTGGCTCAACAACGCAGATAACAAGAGGGGGTGGTCCGGCTCACAGGTCCGGCTCACGCGCCTCGAGCTCGCCATCTACCGCACTGAACACTTCCGCCCCCTCGCTCCCAACCCATCCACCCCGCCCTGGGCCGCGCCGCGCGATCTCGGGCGATCTCGCGCGATCTCGGGCGATCTCGGGGCCGCGCCGCGCTATCTCGGGCGATCTCGCGCTATCTCGGGCGATCTCGGGGCCGCGCCGCGCTATCTCGGGCGATCTCGGAGCGTCGCTCGCGCGGCGTCACACCTGCTCAAAAAGGAAGGAGGTTGGAGGCAGGAGGTCACGCCCCATCCAGAGCGCCGTCGTCGCCGGGTTTTTGGCCCCCGGGTCGTCGCCCGACGGTTGCTGCGCGGGGCAGCAGACCACCGGACGGCGCGACGACGCCCCGTCCGGCACGCTCCCCCTCCACCCGGCTATTGCCGCACGAGCGCCCTCAGCGGCGGAATTTTTCCCTCGCGCTTCCTTGGGCCCCCGGCAACGCCGACGGACTTCCCGTCCCCCCACCTGCGCCGCAATCACCGCCGTGATTGTCGGCGCCGCGCCCCTTGGCGCCTGTGCATGTCCCGCGTGCCCGCCCGCCAAGGCTGGTGCCAAGGCCAACTCAACTGCCAAGGCTGGTGCCAGGGCCAAATCAACTGCCTGGCTGGTGCCAAGGCTCAAAGGCTCTCCTCTCTCTCTCTCCTCCCTCTCTCCCTCCCTCCCTCCCTCCCTCTCACCCCCCCCTCTCTTCTCTCCTCTCCCCATCCTCCTCTCTCCTCTCTCCTCCTCTCTCCTCTCCTCTCCTCTCCTCTTCTCATCCTCTCCCCTCTCCTCCTCTCCTCTCTCCCCCCCTCTCCCCCAGCAGCTTCCTCGAGGCCGAACAGGTAGATCCTCCCTGATCGCTAAGCTACCACAGGGGAAGTAGACGTCGTCCGCCGCCGCCTCCGCCGCCCGCGTGCCTCCGCCCCGCTCAGCAAAAAATCAGCATTATATCAGGAGGTGCCAAAGCCGCAGCATCTCCATGAGGTGAGCGTCGTGCGTTTTGCCGCCGCGCGCCGCCGCTGCGCCGACTGGCTCCCGGTTCGAGTCGTCCTTCGCGGAGCGAACGCGGCGATACGAGCGCACGTCGCGCGCGTGTGCGCCTGCGACAAGACGAGACGAGACGAGAAGAGAAGGAGAAGTAGACGGTTGATGCTTTTGCTGCCGCGGCCGCGCCGCGAGCTCGCGTCTGTTTTGGCGCCGACGACGCGACGCGCCCCGCTGCGTGAGATGGCGCCGCCGCGGAGTCGGCGCCGCGATCAACCGCGCGCCAGCGGCGAGCGGCGCAGCGCGGCCACCATGCGGCGCGACGTGCCCGCCGACGATTTTTTTTTTTTCATTTTTTCGACACGGCTCCTCGAAACCGGCGGCGGTGCATGAGATGTCTGTGTCGTGCACCGCTTCAGTGTTTGTCGGCGCCACCGTCGGCGCCGTGGCTGTGCTGCTCTGCTTGGGCGGCGCGCTGTACGTACTGCGGAGGCGGCGGCTCGCAAAGTGGGACAGCCGTCGGTGGCGACGGTGGCTCGACACGGAACCCGAACGGTCTGACTTTTTGTATGCGGAGATCGAACGATTGAAGCAAGAGCTCATGAATTTGCAAGCGGGACCGCCGTCGAACGTCATCGACGACCAGTGCATCCCCAGAGCGCAGCGCTGTGATAGAGTCCAGCCGATACAGCGACGCCTCACCGACTGGAGCATCCTGCAGAACGCCTTTCACGCACACGCGAACCAATACGACGCAGTGCCATCTGGGTTCGAGGTGGGCGATTTCGCGAGGCCTGATCTGCTCTTTCGCATGCTCGGACGAGGCAATGACGTGCTCCCTCCGGTGAGGCTGCTCGACGGCGAGTGGCTTGAAGCACGGGCGGCAGAGCTAACGGCTGCAGCGTCCGCCGAGGAGCGCCGATCGTTCGCGTTGCCGCGGAGGCAAGAGTTGTATGCACAGGAGCCCGACGCTTACATGAGCGTGGAACGCCTTGCGCTGCTGCCGCGTGGCGACGCCAAGATTGGGTCGCCGCTGCCGATTATCGTCGTCTCGCATGCCTGGCGGAGTGCTGAGCACCCCGACCCGGAGGGCGACAACCTGCTTGCGCTCGTCGATGCCTTTGGCGTGCAGCGCGCCAGGAGCCGGTTCCCCGAGGGCGGTTTCGCCGTGTTTTACGACTGGTGTTCGCTCCCGCAACGCGACGCCAACGGCACGCGCACCGCTGCTGAGAGGGAGGCGTTCGTGCACGCCCTCTCGAAGATGCAGGTGTGGGATGCTGGGATGCGAGTACATAGCCGTGCCCAGATCATTTAATTTTTTCTCTACTTTTGTAGGTGTGGTACGCGCACGCGCAGACCCTCGTCTACATGCTGACGAAGACCCCACCGGCTTGGGGAGACGTCGTGCCCTACGCCGAACGCGGCTGGCCCACGTTCGAGCAGCACATAACCATGTTCAACAAGCGGCAGAGTATGAAGTGCTGGGCCAACGTCGTGGACGTGAATGACCCCTCGGCACGCCCACCGCCGCCTCTTACTGCTGAAGCCTTCGACCAGCTGCTTGCGAGCAAGGTCTTCACCAACGACGCGGACCCCTCCGTCGTGTCCGTCCTCTACAAGGACACCCTTGCGACCGCGTTCGGGCTTGCCATGAATCTTCGGTACGTGGGCATGCATTGGAGCGACGAGGAGTTTGCACAGCTCGCTCGCGTCTTACCGCATGGCCGCCAGTGCATTCGCCTCAACTTCAAGGGGGCCCACAACCAGTACACGGCGCGGTCGGCAAAGGTGCTCGCGGAACTGCTTCGCTCGGGCGCGATGCCAAAGCTGGAGGTGCTCGGCGCAGGGTGCACTGCGAAAGACTCGGCTGACCCAGGGCCGCTGATGTCCGACCCGGACCTGCAGGCCGCCTGTGAGGCACGCGGCATCAGCCTGCAGCGCGACGCTGACTGAAAGAGCAGGAAGCTTTTGGCGTCGGCCTGCGGCCGTCGTGCGGCGGCTCCTCCTCGTACAGTTATGTTGTACCTCCCGTCCCACTGCGGCTCGGGTCCCATAGTAGTCTAGTATTTCTGAATTTAAACCACACACACACACACACACACACACACACACACACACACACACACACACACACACACACACACACACACACACACACACACACACACACACACACACACACACACACACACACACACACACACACACACACACACACACACACACACACACACACACACACACACACACACACACACACACACCACACAGGCTAGTGCCATTTCACTGTGGCACAGCTCGCGTTACAAGGTAATTTCTCGCAGCTGCGAGACAAGTTTTCTCGGAGCGACAGCCTCAAAGACAAAAGGGTGGATGGGTGGGGGGCGATTGCGGGCGAGCGCCAGCGCGCCCCAGGAACGGTGGGGTGCCCTCGACCGCGCGTCCGAGTCACTTGGGCGGACGAGCGAGCGGCACATGGCCCGACAAAGAGAAATCGGAGTCTGGCGACGAGATCGATAAAAGAAGTGCAGCGTTTCCTCTGAGGTGCCTCAGAGGTGCACCACACCTCTGAAGGTGTCTTTCAGAGGTGTCCTTCAGGAGCAGAGCTGACGTCAGTCTGTGCGCGCTCCCTCTCTCCTCGTCGAACTTGGGAACGAGGAGGAAGAGTTGAAGCGCGCTCAGAGTCGCCCTCTTCGCCCTTCCGAAGGCCACGATGGCCGACTCTTTTGACGCCGAGGTGGACCCGACGGGATCCACCATGCTTTTGATCATGCCCGAGAGCTCCCCGCTTCTTGAGGCCACCGAGTTCTTGGGGTGGACGGCGACCACCGCCGGCTCCGACGGGATGCCGCGCAAGGCGGCCCCTTGCGCCGCCGCGGCCCCCCTTCTCGCGCGCTGCCGCCAGGGCGCCGCGGGCCAGCAGCACCCGGGCCACCCGCAGTTTCTCGCTCTTTGCCCGTTGACGTTCGCGCTGACCGGCTCAGCCTGGTCGCGAGTGCTGGAGACCCTCGGTGAGGCGGGCCTCTTCGCCGCCCCCCTCCCCTCGAGCGACGACCTCCTGGACGTGCTCGCCGCGATCGAGATCGCCGATCTCTCCCCCCTTGAGATTGGCCCGGGCGTCGTCTTTCTGCGCCAAGGGGAGAGCCTCGAGCCGCCCCCACGCTATGCCGCGGGCGCGGGCGACGCGCGGCTTATCTTCGTCTCCGAGAAACGGCTCGGATTCGGCACGCACGGGGCGTCCAACCTCTGCCAGCGCTGGGCAAACGCCAAGCTCGACCTCTACCGCGACGAGATGGATGAGGCTGAGTCGCAGGAGGAGCCCACTCCCGCCGCGGAGCGATGGCGCGCCGCCCGTGTGAAGGCCCAGCGCGCCACCGGGCAGCCCTGCGTTCCCACTCGCCGCTACGAGGACTTCGGCACGGGCCCCGCGCCCACGACCACCTTCGTCTGCGCGCAGCACCGTCTGTACGCAGTGCACATGTACACGGATGACCCGGTCTTCATCGTTGTGGGCGTCCAACGCGCCCTGCGCGCCCTGCGGCTCTGGCGACGCCTCACGGATGAGATGGGCCTTGTCATGGCCATAGCCGAGAAGCGCTCTCTCGGGAGCTGGACTCTCTGGATCGGCGTCCTTCTGATTCCGGCACTCGGGATCGTCGTGGTCCCCCGCTCCAAGTTGCTGCGCGCCGCCCGGGCCATCGATGCCCTGCTCGCGAGCGGACTCGAGTTCCACGAGTACCGATCGCTGTGCGGCCTGCTGGAGCACCTCCGCGCGTTGACGGGTATCAAAATTCTTCCCTACGAAAGAGGCCAACGGACCCGAGAAGGTAATTTCTCGCAGCTGCGAGACAAGTTTTCTCGGAGCGACAGCCTCAAAGACAAAAGGGTGGATGGGTGGGGGGCGATTGCGGGCGAGCGCCAGCGCGCCCCAGGAACGGTGGGGTGCCCTCGACCGCGCGTCCGAGTCACTTGGGCGGACGAGCGAGCGGCACATGGCCCGACAAAGAGAAATCGGAGTCTGGCGACGAGATCGATAAAAGAAGTGCAGCGTTTCCTCTGAGGTGCCTCAGAGGTGCACCACACCTCTGAAGGTGTCTTTCAGAGGTGTCCTTCAGGAGCAGAGCTGACGTCAGTCTGTGCGCGCTCCCTCTCTCCTCGTCGAACCCACCACCATCCCCTTTCGCCTCCTATCTGTCTTGTGTGTGCCTTGCTGGGGGAACAAACGGCTTCATCGCAAAGCTGCCCCCAGCAGGCGTCTTGACGGGTATCAAAATTCTTCCCTACGAAAGAGGGAAAACCTTGATTTGACCATTTGCGCAAAAAGGTACATCTCGGTGCCTTCCAGAGGCAGCTGTGACCCCGCCGAGTAGACGGCGTCACACAGCAGGTGGCGCGGTGTGACGCCGTCCACTCGCCTGGGTCGCAGCTGCCTCTGCGCGTCCTGGGTATGTACCTTTGTCGCGCGCCGGAGACGACTCGACGCCGCTGAGATCGGAGATCAAGCTCTGACAGGTCGCACGTCGCTCCTTTGACGCCGACGTGACTCACCCGTGCAGATCACATCATGACACGGTCTCGATGCGCTCGGTACGACGCCTGCGACCCGTCTCGGGTCAGGTGGCACGACGCTCATCGCGCCTACCAGCGCTGCCGTACAGGTTGCCACGACGAGGTCGAGCACGCTTCTATACGCCAGCCGAGCCTTCCTTTCCATCCCATTAGGCAGTCTGGGAACGGTGGCGGTCAGAGGCAAAGCCTACGAGGGGTGGTGGAACCACATGTCACGGCTACTGCCGGCTCGACCCCACGATAGCCTCCGAAGGCTGACTTTGCGGCACCATCATCGGACGATGTCGACGAGTTTGGTCGCTCTCGCGGTAGCCAGATGACCTCTCTTCCTAGGATCATCGGCCATGGCCGCAGGGAGCGCGGGGGAGGGCGCTGGAAGCAACACGGAGCTCCGTTGGAGACGTTTTCAAGATTAGCGTGTCAGAGTGAAATGGCACTAGCCACACACACACACACACACACACACACACACACACACACACACACACACACACCGGCGAGCGCGAGGGCGGCGGCCGGCGCGGTGACCGGTGTAACCATGGGTATAACCTACGGCAGAAGCTCCTGGCAGGATGGAGCAGAGGCGGCGGGGAACGGGGAAGCGGCGGTGCACGCGACTGGCGGCGGGGGAACGGCTGGGGGCCTGGGCTTGCTTAGAATTTATTTATTCGTCGAGTAAGAGTGAGAGCGAGAGAGAGAGAGAGAGAGAGAGAGAGAGAGAGAGAGAGAGAGAGAGAGAGAGAGAGAGAGAGAGAGAGAGAGAGAGAGAGAGAGAGAGAGAGAGAGAGAGAGAGAGAGAGAGAGAGAGAGAGAGAGAGAGAGAGCACGCATAAGCGCGCCGAGCCTCATGTATCATGGCAGGGAGTGGCTGGCCCTGGCGTCACCGGCTTTGTCTGCAGGCGCCCGTAGCATGCATGGCGCGCCCTGCGGCGGCGGCTGTGCTGCTCCCTCCCCGTCCGCAGCCCGGCGGAGCGGCTACGCCCCCGGGTTGTACGACTGCGAGCTGCGCCGCACGGGCTGCTCGCGCAGCGGCGGCGGGCGGCTGTTTTCGTCCTGCTGCGGCCGCGCCGCCCCGCCGGCCGCCGCCGCGAGTGACTGCAGGTCTCCGGCGGAGGCGAAGCGCTTGCTGCGCGACGAGCCGACTCCAGAGAGCATCCCGAGCAGCTCGACCACGTCAGCGTGGTCGGCGAGGTAGGCGGAGGCGTCGCTCGGCTTGCGGCCGACGGTGGCGGTGAAGAGGTCGTGCCCGGGTGCGGCGCCGCCTCGGCCGGCCGCCGCGTCCTTCCTCTTCTGCAGCGCGGCGAACATGAGCTCGTCGCTCGAGTCGTCGCCGACGCAGAGGACGAACTGGAGCGGCTCTGCCGGCCTGCCGCGCCGCGCCGCGTCCGCCACGAGCCCGACGAACCGCTCCGCCATCACCCCCTTGTCGATCCCCTTGGGGCACGCCTCGACATACCCCTTCCCCACCCGCACCACCACCGGGGCCCCCTCGAGCGCTGCCTGCAGCTGGTACTGCAGCTCGCGCGCCTGCAGCCACATAGTAATCAATGAGTCACATATCAATCAGTAGCGTGGGCTGGTACTGCAGCTCGCGCGCCTGCAGCGCGCCGAACTCCGGGTCCGCCGAGGAGAAGTTCCACGACATGGAGGAGCCCTTCTTCTGCATGTACGCGCCGAGCGTGCGGGTGGTGTAGACCGCCATCACCGCCTCGGCAGCCTCTCGCCAAGAGGTGTTGACGCCTAGAATTAAACACAGAATCCTAGTCGTACATGCATCTCACAGGCGACCTCTCGCCAAGGAGGTGTTGGCGCCAGGCAGGAGCTGCTGCCACGGGCCGCTCTTGATGCGGTAGTGGAAGCCGTGCTCGACAGCAAGAGAGAGCCCCGGCACCGACCCGAAGGCGGCGTCCACCTGCTCACAGCAGGAGGTGTGAAGAGACGCCGTTCGCAGCTGCGGCCGAGAGGGACGATGCCTCACCTGCTCACAGCAGGAGGTGTGAAGAGACGCCGATGGCCGCTGCGGCACAGGCACCGGTCAAGAGGGCGGTGTCCGCCGTGTCGCGCCCGAGTCCAGAGAGGACCATCACGTGGTTGTGGGGGTCGGCGCAGAGCTGCCGCAGCGTCGTGAGCACCGAGGAGGGCACCTCGTACTTGCCCTCCTCGCGCACGTCGTAGAAGCCCGTGTCGGCGGGGGTGAGGGTGCCGCCCCAATCGAGCAAGACGACGCGCTGTGCGGCGGCGCGATACGAGAGGAGCACCTGTTCACAACTGCAGGTGTGAAGAGGCGCTGTGCACAGTCCCAGCCAGACGCGATACGAGAGGAGCACCTGCGCCCCCGAGTCAGGGGGAAGAGGGGGGGGGGAGGAGCAGATTACTCACTGACGGCGGAGCGGGGCGAGAGGAGCAGCCTGCTGCGTGTCGACACTTCCTCGACACTTCCTCGACACCTCCTCGACACTTCCTAGACACTTCCTAGACACTTCCTAGAGGAGCAGCCTGCTGCGTGTCGAGCGGCTTGAAGTCTGCCCCCATGCCCACCATCCGGAAGGAGGCGAGCCCAAAGCCGACCGCCATCCAGTGGTCCTCCTTCTTGCGCTGCATCGACTTGAGGTCGGTCAGGAAGCGGCGCGCCTCATCATCAACCACGCCATGAGATGGGGCACTCATTGAAGGCGACCTCTGCCGTGTTTGCGCGCCCAATCCTCCGCCGTGTTTGCGCGGATGTGCGCCAAGTCCTTGCGTGCGCGCGCCTCCTTCTCCGCCGGCGGCATCTCGAGCGCCGTCTCGAGCGCGCCCATCACAGCCTCCGTCGAGAAGGGGTTCATGACGAGCGAGCCTGAAAAGTGCATCGCCGAGCGGTCAGGCGCTTCCTCAACCAATCCCTCGCGGGCTCCGTGGCGAACGGTCCGTTGAGCACGCGCGAAAAGCCCGAGAACTCGGACAGCACCGCCACGCCCGCCGGAAGCTTGCCTGGTGGCGTCACGGACGTGTCGTGGACGTGACTCACTCAGCACCGCCCCCGGCCCCACGCCCGCCGGCAGCTTGCCTGCGGCCCGCGCGACGACGTACTCGAGCGGGTGGGCGTTGACCGCCTCGCGCACCGTCGAGTAGACGATGACGTCGGACATCTGCCACAGCTGCATCCGGGCGGCGAGAGAGAGCCGCTCCACCTGTAATGAATCATTGGTTGATTCATCAGCGATTCGTCATTCATTGGCGAGAGAGAGCCGCTCCACCTTTCGGCGTAGTGGCAATGAACCAGTAATCAATCATTCATTAATTGACTAGTACTTAATCGTTCATTGAGACTCCATCGAGAGGCGACTGGCGAGCCGCTCCACCTCGGCCCGTGTGAGCAGTCCATCATCACTCAAATGACTAAGCAATTGAGCTCTAGTGGATGAGGGGCTGGTGAGCTCCCCACCTCGCAGTCCATCATCACTCAAATGATTAGCAATCGAGCGTTAGTGGATGAGGGGCTGGTGAGCTCCACACCTCGGCGTAGTGGAGGGCGCCCGGGTAGGAGGCGCGGATCCGGCGGACGATGGTCTCAATGTCGGCCCGCACGTCGCGCGCGTCCGCGACGAGCTTGACCTGTCATCGATCACCCGCTCACTCGCTGCTAGCTGGAGACGCCGCGCGCGCGCGCCCGCGACGAGAGCGTGACCTGGTTGCGCGAGGCGACCATCACCTGCAAGTGTCCAGGAAGTGTCTAGGAGGTGTCTAGGAAGTGACCCGGTTGCGCGAGGCGACCATCACCTGCACCAGCGTGTGGCCCGCGCGGTACCGCGGGTACGCGGCCAGCATCGCCTCCCACGCGAGCAGCTTGAGCTGCACGCCCTTGAAGCGGTCGAGGTAGTCGACGCCGGCGAGCAGCCGCCGCGGCGAGGCGGCCGGCGCGTCGAGCTCCGCTCGCAAGTCCTTGAGCTCGTCGCGGGTGGAGGCGGCGGCGGGGGGCGCCAGCCTGTCCGGCAAGTGGTTCTCGAGCAGCGAGGGGGAGACGCCAAAGGTGGAGACCTGCGAATCAGTGGGCCTTCATCAACGAAACCCAATAGCCGGGGGGAGAGCCCAAAGGTGGAGGAGACCTGCACGATGACGTGTCGGCCTCCGAAGTCGACGCCCAAGAAGCCGCCAGACTTGAACTCGTGCTCGAGGCCTATCAACTAATTAATTAATTAAAATAATTAATTAATTAAGCCGCCAGACTTGAACTCGTGCTCGAGGCCTATCAATTAATTGATATCAAACTAACTAAAGATCACTTCAGGAAGCCGCCAGACTTGAACTCGCGACGCCTATTGAGTGGCTGGTCGTCCCTGCGCCAGACCACGTGCCTCGACGGGAGGGCTGCGGTCGTGCTCGAGGCCGAGCAGCCGCTTGCACGAGGTGAGGAAGTTGCGCGTGTACCTTAATTAATTAGCGCGTGATTGGTTCGTTAATTCATTAGCTTGCACGAGGTGAGGAAGCCGCGAGTGTACTCGAAGAGCAGGAAGCCGACCATGTCCGCGTGCAGCATCGCTCGGAGCAGCTCCTCGCGGACGGCGACGGAGCGGAAGACGTCGCTCGCCGGGAAGGGCGAGTGCAGGAAGAGTCCGATGTGGGCGGTGCGGTGGCGGCGGAGCAGGAAGGAGGGGAGGAGGAGCAGGTGGTAGTCGTGCGCCCAGACCTCGGCGGTCATCAACGATCAATCACTGACAAACCAGCAGCAACAGCAGCCAGGTGGTAGCCGTGCGCCCACAACAGACCATGTGCCAGGTTCGTACACCTCCATCACGGTGTCGGCTACACTGCCACCACTGCTACCACTGCTACTACTACTACTACTACTACTACTACAGACCATGTGCCCCGGCTCGTACACCTCCATCACGGTGTCGGCGAACTTTCGGTTGGCGGCGGAGTACGCCCGCCAGTCCTCCTACTCATCAGCCTCGGGGGATCTCGGGGAGTCTCGGCGAGTCCGGAGTACCGACCGCCAGCCCTCCTCGCAGAACGGGTTCTCGCTGTCGGGGAGCCGCATCCGGTTGTGGAAGACGGGCCGCAGGTAGGAGCGGCAGAAGCCTATCATTCACTAAGTGATCACCTCTCCTCACCTTCCTTCCTTACTTAGGGCCGCAGGCACGAGCGGCAGAAGCCGTGGTAGAAGCGGTCGGTCAGCGCGGCGGGCAGGAAGACGGGCAGGCAAGAGTAGCCCTCGAGCAGCAGCTGCGCGAGGCCCTCCTCCTCGTCGGGGTCGACAGCGCAGCCGACGCCTATTAGTTAATTACCGTTAAATTAATTACACACTAATGAAGGGATCGTCGGGGTCGCTAGGGCAGCCGACGCCTCCGACCCACATCACCCGGCAGCCCAGCGACAAGGCGTGCTGATTGAGGACCGACTCGTCGTCCCACTCCACCTGTTCACGGCTGCAGGTGTGAAGAGACGTTGTTCACAGCCGAGGACCGACTCGTCCTCTGCCACTCCACCTCCCACCCTCCGCCCTCGGCTCTCGACACAGTGAGCGGCAGCTGGTACGCCACGAGGATGACCTGTTGACAGCTGGAGGTGTGAAGAGACAGCGAGAGCGGCAGCGGGATCGCCTCGAGCATGAGCACCGTGTCGCTTTTCTCGAGCGGCAGCAGCGGCGCCGCCCCGGACGGCCCAGCAGGCGCGGTCATCCGGTTCGCCTGCGCCTGCGGGAGCTGCAGGAAGGAGCGGAGCCGCGCCGGCATCACCCCGCCGTGAAGGGCGGCGAGGGCGGCGGAGAGGTACGAGCAGAGGGCGACGCGGCGGCCGTCCACGACCTCTGGCGCGAGGCGGTTGAGGTGAAAGGGCCAGACGGGGAAGTGGTGGGGGAGGCCGGAGACCTCGCCGCGCAGGCCGTCGTGCAGCGCCACGAACTCGCGGTACCGCCGCTGCGCCTGCACGCCGCGCACGCGTTACGGGCTGCATGAGCACGCGCGGCAGAGCTGTCGGGAACGCGGCACAATACACGCAGCAGGCGCGGGAACACACGCGCGCACTCGCATGAAATGCGCACACGTAGGCTGATCTCATTGGCGGCGGATGGGTGCGGCGGCTGGAGTGGAATATGCGGCAGCCAGGGCAGCCGCTGAGTCTGTGGAGAATGCGGCGATGCCTGGAAGCGTTGGCCCTGGTAGTGCGTGGTGATGGAGTACGAGGTGTAGGGCTTCCCGCTCGAGTCAAACAAGGTCGATGTTGATTCGATTGAGAACTCCATCGTCAAGCGTGGTGTGCTGCCGCGCGAGTGTTGCAGGCGGGGGTCGAGGGACTTCGCGAATCGAGGGACTTGCGAGCGCGGCGAATCGAGCAGGTTCGTTGTGAAGAGCTGGGGGCCCCGGGGTGAGTCCTTCGGTAAGCGCGGGTTAGCGCGGGTTAGTGCTCACTAACCCGTGCACGGGTTAGCACGGGTCAGAACGGGTTATCATAACCCGACGCTAACCCGACGCTAACCCGGCACTAACCCGTGCGGCTGGGGGGCATACGTCAGCAGGGGTTTGCGCCGGGTTAGGGGTGGGTTAGGGCCGGGTTAGAGCTGGTTGGCGAGATGAAACGGCTGCTGCGGCGGGCACTTCTGTTCACATATTCTGCCTTAACAGGTCGGCATGGTCTTCTGGTAACAGGCATGTTGTTGGTAACTTGATCGAATGTCGCCGAGGTCGCGGACGAGCACTAACGAGCACTCGGTGTACATCGACGGGGCTCACGTGCTCGCTCGGTTCTCTTTCATTATTGCGTCTCGGTGCCAAACCACCCCTTCCCACTGGCATCCCACTTCCCACCGAGGCCGCGGGCACGGCCACGGGGCAGGTCGAGAGCCGTATTTCACCGCGTTCCCCAGAGGTGAGCCCCCCATTGGCCATTTTGCGCATTGGTGTCCAGTCCGACCCTGGCTGTTCTTCACCTTCCTACATACATACATAAATTTGTGACTCATCGCACTCCAAGTGCCCCAAGGAACAAGCGACGGGGGCACGCACGCTCAGCACAGTCACTCAGGCGAGGGACTTCAGCACACTCCACGCCGTGGGGCTAGCACGCACACAACGGCAACTACATCAAGACGGCGAAAGCCTTCATCCGCGCCGCCGCCATCGGAGCCACCGCCTCCCACGCATCCAACGCAGGGTCGTACCGCTCCACCGAGCTGAGGTGGGTGTAGCCGGCACCCATTCCGCCTGCGACATAGAGCTTGCCGTCGAGCACTGCCACGGCGTGAGATCCTCGCACCGTCGTCATCGGCGCCACCGCCTCCCACGCATCCAACGCCGGGTCGTACCGCTCGACTGAGCTGAGGAAGCCGTCGTTGTACCCGCCCATAGCGTACAGCTTGCCGTCGAGCACCGCCACGGCGTGAACGCACCGCGCCGTTGCCATCGGCGCCACCGCCTCCCACGCGTTCGTCGCCGCGTCGTACCGCTCCTCCGAGGTGAGCCAGCCGTCGTCGTTGCGACCGCCCACAGCGTACAGCCTGTCGTCGAGCACCGCCACGCGATGGTTACTCCGCTCCGTCGCCATCGGGGCCACCGCCTCCCACGCGCCAACTGCCGGGTCGTACCGCTCCACCGAGCTGAGGAATTGGTCGTTGTCGCCGTCCTCGTCGTCGCCGTTGAAGCCTCCAACAGCATAGGCCTTGCTGTTGAGCACCGCCACGGCGTGACTAATGCGTGGCGTCGCCATCGGCGCCACAGCCTCCCACACATTCGTAGCCAAGTCGTACCGCTCCACCAGGTTGGAAGGTGCGAGGTCAGCCTCGCCATCCTCATCCTCGCCATCAGCCTCACTCTCGCCGCCCACAGCGTAGAGCTTGCCATCGAGCACCGCCGTGCTGAAATACTTTCGTGCCGACGGCATCGGCGCCACAGCCTCCCCATCCCACTCATTCGTTGACGGGTCGTACCGCTCAAGCGAGTTGACAGTCCCACCCTCGCCGTCGCGGCCGCCGATCACGACCAGGCGCGGCCTCTCGCGCTTCTTCAGCGTCTCCTTCCAGCCGCGGCGCCACGCGCGGCACGTCCCCTTGGCGGCGTGCTCCGTGGTCGGCAGCTGGGCGAGGATGCGCGGGGCGAGGTCCGGCGAGAGGAGGACCTCGGAGAGGATCCACTCGGGCTGCTCCACGAGCCGAGCGGCGTGCTCCTCCGCCACGCGCAGCGCGGCGTCGCTCGCGCCCGCCTGCGCCTCGATGATGGCGCACAGCTGCTCTGGCGAGAGGCCCGCGACGCGCGCGCCGATGCGGTGGGAGGCCATCGGCGCGGACGGTCCCGCGCCGGCAAGCTTGGATTTCGCTCGCAAGGGTGTGGGTACTCGGCGGACCGCGTCGTTGCGCCGTCACCCATGCCATCGTGGAAAAAAAATCTCGCCGGCTTCGCGCCGAACGCGCGCAGCGTCTGTGCGTGTTTGCCCGTACTCCGTGCCAGGAGGTGCATATCACTGACTCACGTCCGCCATCAGGTGTGTATATGGCCGACGCCAATCTCGTCGCCGAGGTCTCCTCCGCGCTGCACGAGGTTCTCGCACCGACCACGCCTCCGGAGCGGCGGCAGGCGCTGCAGCAGGCGCTGCAGCAGGAGCGGTCGCGCGCGGGCGCTGGCGCGTGCTACCTGGCCGTGCTCGCCGAGTCGTCGGACGAGGCGCTGCTGTGGTTCGCCCTCGCGGTCCACGAGGCCGCACTCCTCCGCGCGGCCGACACCTCTGGCGGCACGGCCGAGCGGCAGCAGCTTCGGGCTGTGCTGCTCGGCATGCTGTTTGGGCCGCGGTATGAGACGCTGCCGCCGAGTGCGCGCGGCAAGGCGGTCTCGCTGCTCGCGCGGCTGGTGGTCGCCACGTGGCCGGCCGAGGCGCGGCCCACGCCTCCTCCTCTTCGCCAGAGCGGGCTCTGCGCCTTTCCGAGACGCCTTCCTCGCCAGAGACGCCTCCTCCGCTCCAATGCCTGCTCCGCGACTCTTCCCGGACCCGGACTCTTCCTGTCTCGTCAGGACCCGACTCTCCTCCCCTCCCTCCTCGAGCTGCTTGCCGCGCCGGGAGCCGCACGGCCGCGCGCCGCCGCCGTCCTCGCCGCCCTCGCCGACGAGCTCGCCCCAGGCCGCCCCTGACCGTTCCCAGACCTTTGCAAGACCTTTCCTAGACCTTTCCTAGACCTTTCCTCGACCCTTCCCAGACCCTGCCCAGACCGTTCCTGGACCTTTCCGAAGCACGTCCTTCGCCTCCAGAGAGGTGTCGATCTCGCCGACTGATCGTCCCCTCTCAGTCTACCGCTTCTAGACACCTCCGAGGCCTCTACCACTCACGCACGTCGCCCGTCGCCAAACCAGCTCACCCCAGCGTCCTCCTCACCTCCTCGGACCCTTCTCGGAACTTTCCTGCAGGCCGCCAGCGCGGGCTCGCGGCACACCAGGCCGCGCTGCAGCAGGCGTTCGCAGCCACTCTGCCGTCGGTCTTTGGCACCCTCGCCGCCGCTCTGAGGGCGGAGGCGGCGGCGGGCGGCGGAGGCGGCGGCGGAGGCGGAGGCGGAGGCGGAGGCGGAGGCGGAGGCGAGGAGGGGGAGGGGGCGAGGCAGTGCCTAGGGGCGGTGGTCGGTCTGGTGAGGCTGGGGTGGACCCTCCGACCTCCCGCGGATGAGGCTGCGCATAGCCGAGACATCGCCGAGGTAGACATCGCCGGCTGCCTCTCGGCTGCGCATAGCCGAGACATCGCCGAGGGTAGACCCGAGAGGCAGCCGAGAGGCAGCCGAGAGGCAGCCGAGAGGCGGCCGAGAGGCGGCCGAGAGGCGGCCGAGAGGCGGCCGAGAGGCGGCCGAGAGGCGGCCGAGAGGCAGCCGAGAGGCAGCCGAGAGGCAGCCGAGAGGCAGCCGAGAGGCAGCCGAGAGGCAGCCGAGAGGCAGCCGAGAGGCAGCCGATAGGCAGCCGAGAGGCGGCCGAGAGGCAGCCGAGAGGCGGTCGAGAAATGAGCAGAATACGATGTAGCATAGGCTGCGCGGCAGCAGCTTCCGCTTCTGCTCGGCGCGGTGGCGGCCTTCTTTTCTCCGAGGGCGGGCGGTGCCAGGCTCGCTTGCACCGCCCTCGAGGCGGCACGAGAGCTGTCCGAGCTGCAGGAGGGCGCAGTTGCGGCGCTGCTCTCCCCGCTGATCGAGCCGGCGCTGCAGGCGCTCTCCGCCCGCAACAGCACACAGCACGTCTACGCGATGTGCTGCATTGTTACTACACTGTTGTCCCCTGCTGGCAGGCCCTCTCCGCCCTCGCTGCCGCCCCTCCGGAGGCACAACTCGAGGAGCTCTACTCCCCCCCATTCCAGTCCGCTCTACTCCTTCCCCTTCCGACACACACAGGCGCAGCTCGAGGAGCTCTACTCCCCCCCCTTCCAGTCCGCTCTACTCCTTCCCATTCCGACACACACAGGCGCAGCTCGAGGAATACGAGGAGCAGCTCTTCCTCCTCCTCGACTCGCTCGCCGGCCCGCCGCTCTCTCCTCTCCGCAGACTAGTTGCTCCTGCCCACTGAGCGAGTTGCCATCGACCAGGCCGCTGGCTCCTCCGCCTCTCTCCGCCCGCCGCCCCGTGGGCGCTGGAGCAGCTGTGGCGCTACTCCGAGGGGCGGGGCGGCAGGCAGCTCCAGCGCTGCGTGCGCGCCTCAAGCGCGCTGCTCGACGCCGCAGGCGGACAGGCTGCACCTCGGCTGCAGCTCGGCTGTACCTCGGCTGCAGCTCGGCTGCAGCTCGGCTGCCTCTCGGCTGCACCTCGGCTGCGCCTCGGCTGCACCTCGGCTGCCTCAGCTGCAGCTCGGCCGCACCTCGGCTGCGCCTCGGCTGCACCTCGGCTGCACCTCGGCTGCACCTCGGCTGCACCTCGGCTGCAGCTCGGCTGCACTTCGGCTGCACCTCGGCTGCACCTCGGCTGCGCCTCGGCTGTCTCAGCTGCAGCTCGGCCGCACCTCGGCCGCACCTCGGCTGCGCCTCGGCTGCGCCTCGGCTGCAGCTCGGCTGCGCCTCGGCTGCAGCTCGGCTGCCTCGGCTGCAGCTCGGCTGCCTCAGCTGCAGCTCGTGCGCGCTGCTCGACGCAGGCGGCGAGGCGGAGGGGCTGTCCTCGTCCGCCGACCACGCCACCGCCGGCGGCATCGCCGACGCGCTGCTTGGCTCGTGCGGGTCGCTCGTTCGGCGGCTGCAGCTGTGTCAGCTGTGAACAGCGTCTCCTCACACCTGCAGCTGTGAACAGGTCGCTCGTGCGGCGGCTGCAGCGGCATCTCTCGCCGGCGCTGCGGGAGGAGTACGAGCTGGTGGAGCCCGGAGGTGCGGCCGGCGGCGGGGGGGGCGAGGGCGGCGGCGGCGCTGACGGCGACAGCGACGCGGACGGTGCTGGCGAGGGCGAGGGCGAGGGCGGAGGGGTGGAGCTGCTCGGCGGCGGCGGCGGCGAGGAGGACTCCTTCGAGGCGTTGTGCAGCGACGCAATGTCGCTGCTGTGCGCCCTCGCGTCGCTGCGAGGGGAGGCGGAGCTGCTGCTGCTCTGTGGCGCCGTCGGCTCCTCTCGGCCAATCTCGGGCGATCTCATCAGGCGGTGCTGCTGCTGCTCTGCGGCGAGCTCGCGCCGCTGCTGCCACGCTTCTCGGGCGCCGACGCCGCGTCGCTCGACGCCGACGGGGCTGCGGACGTGGTGACATCGCCGACCTCCTCGCCGCGGTCCTCCCTCCCGAGACCCTTCCGAGACAGCTGCGAGACCCGTTTTGTTTTGCGGCAGGTGCTTCTCGCCGACTGCCTCGTCGCCGTCCTCCCGAGTGCGGCGGCGGCCAGCACCGCTCCCGTCGCCGACGAGTTCAACTCCACAGTCTCATCCCACGAGGTCCCGCAACCAGGCGGCCAGCATCGCCCCGGTCGCCGAGCTCTCTCGGCACGTGGCGGCCGCCTTGGGCCGTCTCGGGCAGCGAGCCTCCTCCTCCCGCCCCCTCCTCGCCGCCGCGGTGTCGCTGCTTCGGCTCGTCGGCGCCCTCTGTAGCTGGCTCGCTTCGCTGCTCGAGGCGCCGAGTAGTGCGGCCGCCCGACCGCACCACCAGGTCGCCAGACGAGGAGCTGGTCGTCGCCTCTTCCCTAGGCGCAGAGCTGGCCGCCCGCAGACCGCGCCACCGCAGAGCGGCTCCTCTCCGACTGCCTCACCGCCGTGCTGCAGCAGTCGCCGCCTTTGCTCGCCGCCCCCGCCGCCACGCCCCTCGTCGCTCGGCAGGTCGGCGCGCTGCTCCTCGAAGTGTCTAGGAAGTGTCTAGGAAGTGTCTAGGAAGTGTCTAGGAAGTGTCTCGGCAGGTCGGCGCGCTGCTCGCCGCCACGGCGTGCCGCCGCTGGCCGGCCTCGGTGCACGACGCGGCGGGGCTGCAGTCTCTGCGAGGCGTCGACTCCGCCCCCGCCACCCCGTCAGCTCTTGAGGACGAGCGCGAGGCGAGCCGCGAGTGAACGAGTCACTAGGCCTCGAGCCCGCCGCCGCAGCCTCCCTCCCGCCGCCCCGCCAGCCCCTCCTCCTCGCGGCGGCGTGCGGCGCGCTGCTGCTGCCGCCGCGCAACGCCGACATGCGGTCGTACCCCGAGCCTCTCCTGCCTGCGTGGAGGAGGGAGCGGTACACAGAGTCGCGTCCCCCGCCGTGCTCCTGCGGGCAGCGGCGCCTCTTCACGATTGCGGGCCGTGAGCAGGTACGACGCGCTCATCCGCTCGCTCTGCGCGGCGATGGCGGCCGACCCGGCAGATTGGGCGGAGATACAGCCGAGATACAGCCGAGATACAGCCGAGATACAGCCGAGATTTAGCCGAGATTTAGCCGAGGTATGGCTGCCGAGCAGGCAGACTCTGCCGAGCTGCGCCACCCGCCGACTGGGAAGTGCTGGGTGCTAACCGCCGGAGCGCTGCGAACTAGGAGCGCCCCGAGCTGCTCGCCGCTCGCCTCGCCGCAGCGGACGGCCGACACCGCGTGCGCTGCGTCCGCTCCATCGTCGCCGCGCTGTCGAGCGAGCACCGGGCGGTGATGGCGGCGGCGCTGCAGCCGGCGGCGCCCCTCCTCCTCCCGGCCCTACACGCCCTCCTCCCAAGCCTGCTCGGCAGCCCGGCGGGCGGAGGGCAGCCCCCGGCGCCGGCGGCGCTCTCTAGACCAGCGAAACATCGACGCGTATTCCGCCGAGCACTCGAGACGGGCGCGCATTTGGCTGCACTCTGCAGTATCAACACTGGCAGTGCATTCGCAACATCGTTGCCCCGCTGTCCGCCGTGCGAGAGCTCCGTTGTCGGTGCACACACGAGTCCCGCACACGTCCTCGCCTCAGGTGCCTCTCCTCGCCGTGCGAGAGCTCCTCGCCCTCCTCCTCGCCCTCCTCCCCCACCTCTCCTCCTCCTCCGCCGCCAAGTTGCCATCTCGCCACGCGGAGACTCGCCCTGCCCGGGGGCGGCGTCTCTTCACAGCGAGATGGGTGTGAACAGTTCGCCGTCCAGTTACGCGGAGCTCCTCAGCCTCGCCCTCACGAACGCCGTCGCCGCCATCGCCGCCGCCGCCGCCGCCGCCGCCGCCGCCGCTGGTACTACTCCCTCCTCCTCCTCCGGCGGCGGCGGCGGCGCCTCCGCCGGTGCCGCAGCGGCGGCGGGCGCAGACGGCGTGATGTGCGTCTCGCTGCGGCTGCTCCTCCTGCTGGCGGACCCGCCCTCCCCAAGCCGCGCGCCGCCCACGCTGCCGCTCGGCCGCGTCGCTTCTCTTTGCGTGTGTACGCCGAAGAGAGCTCCTGCGTGAGGTGGCGCATGTTCTTGCTTCAGGCCTCGTCGCGGCGGTCGGGCCCGCGCAGATCGGGTCCCTCGTCGGCTCGCCTCTCCTCGCCCCTCCTCGCCGCCGCCAGCTCCTCCTCCTCGCCGCCACCCTCCTGCGGCGGCAGTGGAGGGTCGTCTCGACGCGGCCGCAGGAGCTGCTCGTGCTGCTGCGGCTGCTCCACCACGGGCTCTCCTCGCCCGCCGACCCGCCCTCGTTCCGCACCTGCCTCGCCGCCCTCGCAGAGGTTCAGCCCCGCCTCGCCGCGCAGCCCTCCCCCGCCGGCGCGGCGGCCGACGCGACGCCGGAGGCGCCTCCATCTCTAGCCCCTACTTAACGCAGAGTGGATCGCTTCGGCCACACCAACTTGTTGCATTAGGCGCTCCATCTCGAGCTGCTCCTCCTCGCCCTCGCGGCGCGGCTCGACCCGCTCCACGCCTCCCTCCACGACGAGACCACCGAATGCCTCCACGCCGCGGCGCTCGCCGACGCCGCCCGCCCGCCCTCGCCGCCCGCAAGCTCGGAGGCCGCACCGCCGCCGTTGCTGCTGCAGCTGCTGCAGCGGAGGCTGCTCGACGAGCCGGCGCTGGGGGCGGGGGAGAAGCAGATCCTCTACGACGCCTTCGCCGCCGCCGACTCGTCGGACCTGCCCTCCTTCCGGCGCAACCTCGCCCGCCTCTGCCACGACCTCACCTTCTTTCGCGCGCGCGCACTGTTCGAGCACTCTGCGGTGTTCTGAGTTCTGAGACACACACGTGCACAACGATACGAAAGAGGGGGCGCCGCGATGATTATGATCAGCGGTCGATGCGTTTTATGGTTTACTCTTTCAGAGGGGAGACGTGTAACTCTAAGTACACGCTCCGTACGGAAATAATCTTTGACCATAAATGCTTGCACCATGGCGACACTTTGTCCCTAGTCGACCGACCAGACCTCAACCATGACCTCAACGCTCAAGCTCCAAGGGAGTCATCCGTCAAGCAACAACTACAAAGAGATCAAAGTCATCTCTTCCAAGAGCGGCGTGGCCGTGAGCGCTCGGCGTCACTCACGACGTCCACTGTTCGATCTTCTTGGGCTGCAGCACCCTCTCCTCTCCAACACCGTGGCCCATCGCGTAACGGTCACCCCAGCTCCAGACGGCGCCGTCGTCGGATATGGCCAAGCTATGGCTGCCTCCTGCGGACACGGCAACGACGCGCCGCCCAGCCAAAGCCTCGATTTCCTTGGGTAGCAGCTGATTCTGAGAGGTACCGTGGCCAAGGCAGCCTGCGGCTCCCAACTCGCAGTTGCGGCGGTTGCCGCCCCAGCTCCAGACAGCGCCGCCCGCGGTGACGGCAAGGCAATGGTGGGATCCAGCAGACACCGCGACGACGCGATGACCAGCCAAGGCCTCGATCCTCTTCGGCTGCGGTTGGCTCCGCTCGTCGCCGTGGCCGAGCTTGCCACCCGATCCTTCGCCCCAGGACCAGACACCGCCGGCCGCGGTGAGGGCAAGGCTGTGATTAGCTCCCGCCGTCACGGCCACCACATGTTGGCCATCCAAGGCTTCGATCCTCTTCGGCTGCGTCAAGTCGCAGCTCACGTCGCCAGGGGGCTGCTCGTAGCCCAACTGCCCTATCCCCCAGCTCCAGACGGCGCCGTCGGCAGTGACGGCGAGGGTGTATTTGTCGCCTCGAGCCGCAACGGCGGTGACAAACAGGCCTTTCTGAGCCAAGGTCTCGACCTTCTTTGGCTGCAACTGACACTGCCGATCGCCGTGGCCGAGCTTGTATCCGGAACCTCCTCCCCAGCTCCAGACAGCTCCGTCGGCGGTGACGGCCACGCTGTGCATGAAAGCCGTCGAGAGTGCGACGACGCAATGGCCAGCCAAGGCATCGATCCTTCTTGGCTGGGGCTCGCATTGCCTGCTGCCGTGACCCAGGCAGCCCAAACTTCCATATCCCCAGCTCCAGAGAGAACCGTTGGTGGTAATACACAAGTTGTGCTCGCCTCCACTTGCGTCCACGCTGACTGCGCGCTCGCCGTCGAGCATCGACGGGATCTGGGTCGGTACGTGCAGTTGCTCCACACCCCCGCCATGCCCGAGAATTCCTCGCAGGTAAGATTCAGGCTTACCGCACGTGAACAGCCGCCCCTCGCCGTTGATGAAGACGCTGTGCTCTGATCCTGCCGCCACCCTCGCTGGAAGGTTGGCCTCGCGCTGCAAAGCCACGAGGCAGAGCGAGCGCACGGCCAGTCGCGGAGGCAGCTCGTAGCCTAGCTCTTGCGCCCGCAAGTGCAGGCCCTCCTCAACAACCGATTCGTGCAAGAGGAGCGAGACGGCTGCAACGCGAGCGATGTCGACTGGGTCGCACTGCGATACGATGCGCGATAGCAGGTCGGTTGGCAGGGCGAGGAGCTGCGCCGGCTGCTGCGGCGATGGCAAGGCGGTGAGCGCGTTCCTCGGCATTGGCTCCCACGGTAGCAGATCCGTTGGCAGGGCGAGGAGCTGCACCGGCTGCAGCGGCGATGGCAAGGCGGCGAGCGCGTTCCTCGGCAGTGGAAAGCAGCGGGCGCTCCTGTCAGGGATCGTCAGGGCGTCGGTGCTTCCGGAGTCTCGAGAATAAAAAGGTGCGGCCGGCACGCCGCCACCACCGGGATTTTTTAAACCTCGCCTCCCTGGCTGACCAGAGAGAGAGATTTTTAGCAATACCAAACAACTCTAACACTCACACGTCATTTGGGGCCAGAGCAAAGGAGGTTTGACGGATGGGAGCAGACACCACCCTCGAGGCGCCACCGCCATATGTAGCCCTCATCGGCGCCAACAGACCTCTTGCGACAGCATTGGCGTGTGGATAGGCTTTTCTTGGGTCGATCCTGGGCGTGCCGGGCTGATTGGGCGATTTGGGGGGGGGGGGGGGGGGGGGCTCCCGAGAGCAGGCCGGGAAAAAAAGGAATTTTCGGTTTTTTTTTTTGGTTTCATGGCCGCCCACCGCATCGGCGCGCGCGTCGCGGGCCTCTCGCCAGAGCAGCTGTGCGCCATCATCGAGGCGCAGGCGGGCGCGAGCGACGCCGCGCTGCGCGTGGCGGAGGAGCACGCCGCACGGCTCGTGGAGCAGCCCGAGTGGGTGCTCTCCGAGGTCCTCCTCTCGCCGGACCTCGCCCCGCACATCCTCGCCCAGCTGCCGACCAAGGCGCACGCCGTCAAGGGCACGTGCCGCGCGTGGCGCCGCGGCTGGAAGGAGACGCTGAAGAAGCGCGAGCGGCCGCGCCTGGTTGTGATCGGCGGCGACAACGAGGGTGGGACTGTCAACTCGCTGGAGCGGTACGACCCGGCAACGAATGAGTGGGAGGAGGAGGCTGTGGCGCCGATGCCTTCGGCACGAAGCTATGTCAGCGCGGCGGTGCTCGACGGCAAGCTCTACGCGGCGGGCGGCCAAGTTGCGGTAGACGATGGCGAGGACGACGAGGAGGACGGCGCAACTTCCAACCTGGTGGAGCGGTACGATCCCGCCACGAACGCGTGGGAGGCTGTGGCGCCGATGGCGGTCGAGCGGTTTGTTCACGCCATGGCGGTGCTCGACGGCAAGCTGTACGCTGTGGGAGGCGATGACGACGACGGCCTCCTCAGCTCCGTGGAGCGGTACGACCCGGCTGCGAACGCGTGGGAGGCGGTGGCGCCGATGGCGAGAGCACGCGAGAATCACGCCGTGGCGGTGCTCGACGGCAAGCTGTATGCTGTGGGCGGGTACAACGACGGCTTCCTCAGCTCGGTCGAGCGGTACGACCCGGCCTTGGACGCGTGGGAGGCGGTGGCGCCGATGACGACGGTGCGAGGATCTCACGCCGTGGCAGTGCTCGACGGCAAGCTCTATGTCGCAGGCGGAATGGGTGCCGGCTATAACCGCCTCAGCTCGGTGGAGCGGTACGACCCGGAGTCGGATGTGTGGGAGGCGGTGGCGCCGCTGGCGGAGGAGCGGTATGATCACGCTGTGGCGGTGCTCGACGGCAAGTTGTATGCTGTTGGCGGGCACAACGGCGCCTCGACCCTCAGCTCGGTCGAGCGGTATGATCCGACAACCAATGTCTGGGAGGCGGTGGTGACGCCGATGGCGTCGGCGCGGATGAATGGTTTCGCTGTCTCCTTGATGTAGTCCTTGTCGAGGTGCGAGAGGTGCAAGGTGGAGAGAGATTGTTGCGAGGTGGTAGACGGCTGTTTAACATTAATTTTGGGCCTAACAGTTGCGCTAGTGTTGGCTGAAATCCTCAACGTTGTTCAAGTGTTCACCCCAGCCCATGCTGTTACTGTTTGTTACTGTTGTTACTGTTGTTCAGCGGCCAGCAAGCAGAAAATGCCAAAACCCCCGGGTAAAACCCGAAAACCCCATTTTAATGGGACCTGGGTTTTTCCGGGTATTTTCGGGTATTAGGTATTACCCGCACTGGACGCTGGAGATCGTCGTGGGTCACTGCCAGGCCTTCCTTATTGTTGTTCAGCCGGCCTAACGTTAGCTACTGTTGTTGGGGAGCCCCACTGTTGTTCTGTTGTTTACTGTTAACACTAGCAACACTGTTCAGCTCCCAACGTTAAACAGCTCTACGTACTACGAGGTGGTGTGGCTGTACGAGGTGGTGTGTTGGAGCACTTAAAAAAAAGAAAACAGACAAACCAAGGGAGGGATGGGAGGACGGCACGCCGCCACCACACAGGGATTTGAAGGAGAGGAGTGTGGTGCTAGCCGTCGCCCACCCTCGGGCGTCTACCACTTCCTATCTCTCTTCGCAGTTTCTCACCAATTCTCGCAGCGACCTTCATGCCACCTCGCGGTCTTCTCACTCTCGTCCTCGTTCTCTCCCCTGCTGTTTCATCCTCTGACTCATCGCTCTCCTCGGCCTCGTTCTGAGACGCCGCTGCCGTCTGCCTTGCTCTCGCTGCTTCTCTCGCCGCTCTGCGTAACTCCGCCCTCCTCGCGGCATAATTTGGCCCCTCGAGTTTATCGAGCTCCCCTCGCGCAAGGACCACATATTTCTGACTCCCACTCCGATCATTTGCCTCCAAGTCTTGTCGTTGATATAAAATGAACTCGGGGGCACGGGACGCGGCACAAACGGGGCACATGTCGTTGCTCAGGTCCACTCTCTCTTCGAGCACTTGAACCTCAACGGTCGGTGTTGGCACTGGGGGTCCCTTCGGGTATATCGTGGCAGCTGATGGCGGGATTACCACTGGTGTTTCGTCCGTGAGTGAGTATTCTTGATACGAAACCACGACGACACACACCAGTCGACTCGCATCGGTTGCCTCCATGAACGGCGGAGCTATTCTCGCGCCCACACCACACCTGGCTCCAACGTGGACACGCCCATAGCTGGGGACACTACTAGGTCACGCATGGCATCAGAAGTTTTATCTCTGGGCCCCGAAAGGCATCTCTAGCAGTGTCGTTACGCATGCCCCCTCCCATCCTGGGCGCATGCGCCTCACCGACGTCTCGCCAGAGCATAAGCCCTTGGCGTGTGGCGAGACGAGTTTTTCGCCATGCAGCGAGCAGCAAGCCGCCCGCCGCAAACAGCCGGAGGCATCGCCACGGCACTGGCTGCGCCGCGCTCCCGCACCCGTCGACGAAGCTCCCCCCGCGGAAGACCGCGCGTAGCGACGCCTTGTCGATCGAGATGGGCGCGCCTGAAGCTCGCCCACCACACCTACTGCAACACACACACACACTGGTAGGTAGGTAGGTAGAAAGGTGAAGAACAGCCAGGCTCGGACTGGACACCAACGCGGTATGGGTGGACGCTGGACAGATGATGACGACACGCACGAGCGACACACAGACACAAACAGGCTCACAAGACACACAGCCAGCTGGCTGCCACACACCCTGAGTCGGCGTACACATAACTCAGGGCCACATCCTCCCTGTCGCCCCCCCCCAGGCCAGCACTCCACGGTGCCAAGGGCACAAACAAGGGCACAACTCAAACAACAGACGACAGGAAGTGACCGTCCGGCCGTGCCCCGCGGGGGCGCGGTCGGCACCAGAAGGGGGTCGACTGCTGGTACAGCTTGATCAGCGCGTCGGTGCCGCTCGCGATGACCTTGCTTGAGAGGGGTTCGATATAAACGGTGCCCCCTGATGCGATGAGAATGAAGATGCCGGTCCGCGTCCTCTGGTCGCTGGAGGTGCTGACCTTGAGGAGGGTGCCGGCATAGGCGAGCGTGCCGGCGCCCGCCTCGACGTTGTTGCGCTTGAGCCACTTTGTGGCTTCTTCAGAAGCGGCTTTTGCGATGACTGCGACATCTTTGGGGGGGACCTCTCCGAGGTCCCCCGCCAGCGAGTCGCCGGCCATATCTGGGATAGCGTGAAGGGACTCCCCCAAAGTGCTGGTCGTGACCAGTTGACGCTGCCACGTCCGGCCGTGCCCCGCGGGGGCGCGGTCGGCACCAGAAGGGGGTTGATACGTTCTCTAGAGACGACGTAGTCGTGGACGGCCGCAATCACAGTGGACGGACACGACGAGACGAGTGCGAAAGCACGGAGGCAACAAAACACACTAGGGTTCGGGAGAAGGCTAGGGTTAGGGAGAGAGTGCCTGACGGGCTTCGGCCCGACGGTGACATGTGAGGCTAGAGCAGCTTGCTCCACCTCTAGCAATCTCACCGGCCTGCGAGGCACGGACGAGACCGTATGTTGTGTCATAGTTATGTTGTGTCAAGCTGAGGTGCCTATACTGGTGTTTCGTCCTCCTCCCAAAAGCGCGCTTTTTTCTTTTTTTCTCGTCTTCGCTGCCTTGCTACCGCTCGCCGCTCGATCGGGCGGCGGCCCCTTTCGGTGTGGAGGCATGGCCTCGCCATCGGACCGGACGCTCTACAAGTTCGAGCGCGAGATTGGGCGCGGATCGTACGGCCGCGTCTATCGCGCGCGGCGCCGCTCGGACGGGCGGGAGGTCGCCGTCAAGGTGATCCCTACCGAGGAGGAGGAGGAGGTGGCGGCGCTGGCGGCGCAGGTGATGGCCGAGGCGGAGAGCCTGCGGCTGTGCGAGAGCGAGCACGTGCTCCGCCACCTCGCCTCGCACGCCTTCGACGGCGAGCTCTGGCTCGTCACCGAGTACTGCGAGGCTGGCTCGCTGCTCGACGTGATGCGGAGCCGCGGCGCGCCGCTGCGCGAGGAGGAGGTGGCGGCGGCGGCGGCGGCGACGCTGCACGCGCTGCGCTACCTGCACGAGGAGTGCCGCATGCTGCACCGCGACGTGAAGGCGGGCAACCTCCTTCTCACCGCGTCTGGCGACCTGCGGCTCGCCGACTTTGGCGCCGCTGCGCAGCTCGGGTCGACCCCTGCCTGGACGGCTGGCGGAGGCGTGCCGGAGTGCCTCCTCTAGGCGTCGCGGTGCAGCTGGGCTCGACCCTGTCCAAGCGGTCCACCGCCATCGGCACGCCGCACCGGATGGGTCCAGACGCGGGGATTTCCTTATTTCTCAGCGTTATTTCTTTATTTAGGCACGCCGCACCTGGTGGCTGCCGAGGTAGTATTTCTTCATTTGTGAGTCACTCCTTTGTTTATCGAGGCACGCCGCACTGGATGGCTCCAGAGGTGATCCAAGAGGCGCGGTGTGCATAGACGCTGCTGCCGCCTACATCCTGTGTCCCCCGACGAGGAGTCGAGAGGACACACGCGCGCACTCGGCTGCACTCGGCCGTGCCCCAGCTGTGTCCACCGTATTCGTACACCCTCGCAGCCACGAGGTGCTCTGAGTGCACGGCACGAGGCCGTGTTCACGTTGTGGGTGCCGTCCGGGCCCTCGTCCGCCGCCGTCTGACACCGCAGACGTCCCACAGGCGCCTTACGTTACTTACACCGCACACGTCCCACAGGCGCCTTACGCCTCGTCCGCCGACATCTGGTCGCTCGGCATCACCGCCATCGAGCTGGCGGAAGTGGGGGAGTACTTCATTAACGAACTCCTTCCATTCTTTAAAGGCATCACCGCCATCGAGCTGGCGGAAGGGTTCCCCCCGCACTGGCAGCTGCGGCCGGCGCTGCGGGCTCTCTTCAAGATCCCGTTGCCGCCTCGGCCCCTCGAGATGACGCGAGATGACCCGAGATTGGCCGAGAGTAGGCTCTCTTCAAGATCCCGTCCGCCCCGCCGCCCACTCTCTCCCAGCCGGAGCTGTGGGGGCGGCCCTTCGAGACCTTCCTGCAGTGGTGCCTCTGCAAGGCGCCCTCCCTAGACACTGCCCAGACACTTCCTAGCCAACTCGAGGCCTTCCTGCAGTGGTGCCTCTGCAAGGCGCCCTCCCTAGACACTGCCCAGACACTTCCTAGCCAACTCGAGGCCTTCCTGCAGTGGTGCCTCTGCAAGGCGCACGCCAGTCCATGCCACGCCCAGTGGACCTGCCCCACCGGAGCGCAAGCCGCTCGGCACACGCTCCACGCACATGCACGCACATGCACGCCTATGCCCGTCTGCACAAGTCGAGCCACCACTGCATGCACAAAGTCGACGTGGCCGTCTCACCGCCAAGCCGCCTCTCGGCCTTCCCGAGGGCGAGTGGCTTCACTGCTGGCGGTGACTGCCACCAGGAGCCGGAGAGGCGCCTCTCGGCCTCCACCTCTCCCCATACCTCCCCATACCTCCCCATATCTCCCGATACCTCAGGAGCCGGAGAGGCGCCTCTCGGCCTCCACCCTGCTCGACCACCCCTTCGTCACCGCCCACTCGTCGCCTGAGAGAAGACGAGGCGCGCTGCTGCCCCTGCCGACAGAGCGGCTCGTGCTCTGCAACAGAGCGGCTCGCGCCCTGCAACAGAGAGGTTCGCGTCGCGCTGTCTCAGGCGCGCTGCTGCCTCTAGCGACAGAGCGGCTGGCCGCGCCTCCCAAGCCGATCGGCGCCGGCGAGGCGTCGAGGCTGGCTGCGGCGGAGATGGGCTTGCCTGTCCCGTCTTCTGAGAGCGGGTCGGGCAGCGCCAGCCGGCCTGACCGCACCCTCTTCCGCGCTGCTCCGGCGGCGGTGGCGGCGGCCGGAGAGGCGGAGAGCGGGGGGACGCTCGGCTTGGATGCGACGGTGCGGCTCGACGGCAACGAGCCGTGGCGAAGCGCTCCTTCGCCCTCCGCGCATTTGACGCGCCCGGCCGCCGCCCGCGCCGCGGTGTCTGCGGGCGGAGGGGGGCGAGTCAGCCCGGTGCCTGTGGTGAGCCCGTCCGGTCCTCTCCCTCTCTGCTTGGCGTGAGGAGCGGCGCCCAGCGGCTAGCCTTGCTCAAGTAGTCGGTTGGTGCACCTAGGACTCGCCCTCGGCCTGGCGGGCCACGCGGCGAGAAGCCCGGACGTGGGCTGGGGGAGCGTGGCCGCGGCCCCTGCGGTGGCGGCGCTGCGGCGGGCGAGGGCGGGTGCGCCCGTCCTGCCGGGAGAGGCTGGCGGGACACTGCCGCGAAGAGGGGGGGGAGGGGGAGGAGCAGGGGCGGCAGAGGGGGGGGGCGAGGGCGGCGGAGGCGGCGTGGTGAGCTCCCCCCTCCCCTCCGGCGCGTCGTGGCTGCCGCCGCGCGCGGACGCGTCCTGGACACCAAGGAGGAGGGGCGGGGAGGCGGAGAGCCCGGCGAGCACGCCCGAGCCTGGCAGTCCGGTCACGCCGCCTTCGAGGCGCCCCGTCGACTCCACGCGCGGGAGGGCGGGCTCGCCCTTCGAGCTCGGCGAGGCGGTGCGGGAGTCGCACTTCCCGTCGCCCTGCAGCCCCCCGTGGCCAAGTCCAGACGTCGAGGCGCATTGCTACTACCGCGACGACGGCTCCGATCTCGAGGCGGAGCTGGCGGCGACGCTCGGCTTGTCGCACAGGCGCAGTGCGGGAGAGGCGGCGGCTGGCAGCAGCGGGCGCGCCTCGGGTGGCACGCTGCGCCGCGGCGGCTCTGGAGGCGGCGGAGGCGATGGCGGCGGAGGCGGCGGCGGAGGCGGAGGCAGAGGCGGAGGAAGCGGAGGCGGAGGCGGCGGAGGCGGAGGCGGGGGCGGGGGCGGGGCGGCCGGGGGCGAGGGCGGCGGCACGCTGCGGCGAGGCCGTTCTGGTGGCGACGGAGGCGGCGTCGCGTCTCGCGAGGAGCTGGCGAGACTGAGCGTCGAGTGCGCAGTCCTGGCGCGAGTGCGTGACCAGTCACGAGTAGTGAACGAGTCAGGCGAGACTGAGCGTCGAGGAGTGCGTGGTCCTCGCGCAGTGCGCGCTGCGGCTGCCGCCGTGGGACGGCTCCGTCGCGTACGATTCGGTGCTTCGGCCGGCAGCCGGGCTCCGCCCTCCCGGGAAGTTTCTCTGACTCTTCCAGGGCCCCTGCCCGCAGGTGCCTCGTGCGGCGGCGGACGCACCGCCGATGCCGGCTTGGCTGGTGCGGACGTGCGGCCACGTGGCGGCGGGAGGGCTGCGCGCGCTGCTCAACTTGCTGATGGCGGCGCTGCACTCGGCGTCGGTGGCGCGAGTCGAGGCGGCGGAGGCGAGGTGGGCGGCGAGCGCTCCATTCTCGGAGGCGCGCGTGGCTGCGGAGGAGGCGAGGGGGGGGGTGAGCAAGCTCACGCACGGGGGAGGATGTGACGACTCAGGCGCGCATGGTTGCGGCGGAGGCGCGTGTTGACCCGGCAGCGAGGGCGAGGGCTGCTCTGGCGCACGCGCAGGGCGTCAGTGCGCGTCATGCAGCGCTCCATGGTCGTAGGCGAGGGTCGGTCTGGCGCACGCGCACGAGGACGCCGCGCTCGCCGCCGCCTGCAGCTCCGAGCTGCGCGTGCAGCGAGGCATGCTCAAGGCACTCCTCGTCATCGCCCACTACACGCCGGGCGAGCTTGCCTGTGCCGACGGGGCGCTGCAGGGCTAGTTCAACCCATTGGTTCTCCTCGTTGGTTAGGCGAGCCCATCTTCAGCGACGAGGCGCTGCAGGAGACGCTCTTCGGCCTCGCGACCACGGCAGACCCCGAGGTCCGCTTGTACGCCGTGCAAGTGCTGCGCGAGGTCGCTTGACGCCGACGGCCCCGCCGCACGGGTACTTTCCATGAACCGTGCCGGAACTTTCCTACAGGTTGCCGACGCCGACGGGCCCGCCGCACGGGGCTAGTGGCACCTCCGAGAAGCGGCCGCTTGGCCAGGACACGTCCAGGACACGTCCAGGACACGTGCCCACTAGGCCTCTGCTCTTCCGAGAAGCTCGCCGGTGTGGTTGCGCTGTGCGACCAGTACCGCAAGGGCTCGTCCGAGCAGGCCGCCTCGCCGTTCTGCTGCGCCCTCCACCAAGACACTTTCCCTGACCATTCCCAGACACTTCCTGGAGCCCTCCTGCAGGCCGCCTCGCCGCTCTGCTGCGCTCTCGAGCTGCTCGAGACACTCCTCTCTGCCCGCGCCTCCGCCCGCTCCTCCCTGCCGGCCGGTCTCTGCTCCGTCCTCGCCGCCGTCGAGGAGCAGGCGCAAGCACCGGGCCTCGGATCCCAGTCTCGGCTGCCTCTCGGCTGCCCCTCGGCTGCCTCTCGGCTGCCTCTCGGCTGCCCCTCGGCTGCCTCTCGGCTGCCTCTCGGCTGCCCCTCGGCTGCCTCTCGGCTGCCTCTCGGCTGCCTCTCGGCTGCCTCTCGGCTGCCTCTCGGCTGCCCCTCGGCTGCCTCTCGGCTGCCTCTCGGCTGCCCCTCGGCTGCCTCTCGGCTGCCTCTCGGCTGCCTCTCGGCTGCCTCTCGGCTGCCTCTCGGCTGCCCCTCGGCTGCCTCCCGGCTGCCTCTCGGCTGCCTCTCGGCTGCCTCTCGGCTGCCTCTCGGCTGCCCCTCGGCTGCCTCTCGGCTGCCCCTCGGCTGCCTCTCGGCTGCCCCTCGGCTGCCTCTCGGCTGCCCCTCGGCTGCCTCTCGGATCCCAATCTCGGCTGCATCTCGCCGCCGTCGAGGAGCAGGCGCCGCCCGGCTCGGAGTCGCGCCGCCTCGCCTCCGGGCTGCGCACCCTCATCGGCGCGCGGCCAGACGACTCGGACGGAGGTGCCTCCCTCCTCTGGTGAGTGCCTCGGCCGCTCCAGGCACATCTCTTCCCTGACCCTTCTCTTCTCCTTCTCGTAGGGGGTTTGGCAGAGGGGCTCGGCCGGACCGGGTCGCGGCGCGGCTTCGGAGACGCCGTCGGGGAGTGGCTGAACCGGACCTTCTCGGGCGCGGGCACGCCGCGCGGCGTCTGACTCACCTTGGGAGCTACCCTCTTTGCGCTTTGGACGGCGTTTTGAGGTGGCGTCTTAGAGTCAGACGGCCAAACTGTCCGCTTGACCGCGGCACAACACCGTGACGCCCGTCACCCCTGCGCTGCCTTGCGTGTTCGGTGCTGCGAGCCCGTCTGTACACAACCGGGCCGCTCACTTGTGTAAATTATTGAAACATGGCCCCAGCTCACTTGTGTACAGGTCATGCAAAATAAATCCGCTGAGAAACAGTAGGGGGAGAGGGCTCCCAGGGCTTTGAGGTTTTTTCAGTTGCCTACACCGCACTTACCTCTTACGTAGTCTTACGGACACGCAGCTGGGCGATTTCGCACCGCTTCACTGTAAATCTAGTCTAAAATCTCCAAACGTGCAGAGGGAGTGTACAGTCTGTACAGACAAACAGAGGCACATGGGGTGTGGGGGCGGGTGCGGCCTGCGGGCTGCGCCTCCCACGCATTCATAGAATATCAGGTAAGGTAAAGGTAAGGTAAACTTCTCCACACACACGAGGTGGTGGGGCAAGGGGGGGCAACCCTCGCGTCTCCACGTCTAACGACAGGAGCCCCACGGCATTTAAAGTGCAAGGCCCGGTGCGCGTGGGTGAGCGGTGTGTGTGTGTGTGTGTGTGTGTGTGTGTGTGTGTGTGTGTGTGTGTGTGTGTGTGTGTGTGTGTGTGTGTGTGTGTGTGTGTGTGTGTGTGTGTGTGTAGGTGTGTGTGTGTGTGTGTGTGTGTGTGTGTGTGTGTGTGTGTGTGTGTGTGTGTGTGTGCGTGTGTGTGTGTGTGTGTGGTGTGTGTCACGTCACTGCATCCTCTGCCGGTTCGTCCTCCCGTCGCCTCTTCTTTGTTCGAATATCAGTGTTGTACGGGCACGGAGGCCAGAAAAAAGTATTTTAACAGGTATTTCAGTCTACGGCTTTAAACGCGAAGGTGTTGTGTACGCTCCCCTCACGCCCCCAGCTCGCTCGCGGGCACCTTCTTGCCGTCCACCACCACAAAGATGTCGCTGAGCGCAATCTTGTGCTTGGAGGCGATGAAGGCGGGCAGCGCGTCGGCGGCGTCGCCCTGGATCTCGATCTGGTCCTGCTGGCCGCCCTTGCCCCGCTGCAGGGCCGAGCCGCAGGCGAACTTCTTCCCAAAGGCCTGCGGGCGGCGGCGGGAGGGCACAGCCCGCTCGGCTGTGGTGTCGCTCGCAGACTCCTCTGCCTCTCCGCCCTCGGCGGCGGTGGTCTCGAGGGCGTGATGCGGGAAGGCATGGCTGTTGGGAGGAGCCGTCCAAATGCGGGGGTTCGGGGCGGGGAGAGGGCGTGGTATGATGCGAGCCTTCGCCGCAGCAGCGAGGTCCACCTCGAACCCCTCGAGCCCCTTGACGACGGTGATGTGCTTGCGCTTGTTGCGCGTGTTCACCTGCGGAGGGGGAGGGGGCGTCGACGGGGGAGCGGCGACCGTCGGCCCGCGGCGGCGTCTGCAGCACAGGTGCTGCAGGTGCAGACACAGGTGCGGGCGGCAGGTGGCGGGGGCGGGGGCGGGGGCGGGCAGCGTTGGGCGCCTCAATCACAACCGCCCGGCTGGCCGCCTTGGCCTTCTTGCCAGCCTTGCCGCCACCACCGCCTCCCTCGCCGCCCGGAGCCTCGCCGCCGCCGCCCGCGCCGCCAGCCTCGCCGCCTCCGCCTCCGCCTGGCGACGCCGCCGCCGCCGGAGGAGGCGCGTCAGCCGCAGTCTTCTTGCCGGCCTTCTGCGAGCGCTTGGCGTGGTCGTCCAGCTCGCCTGAGAGCGCGGGGCGGGCGGGCGCGTCGGCGCCTGCGAGCGGACATCGGCCCGCGCGCCGTTGCCGCGCACCACTGAGCCCGAGCTTGGCCATGAGTGCTGCGAGCTCGTCGCTGCTGACCTCCGCCGCCGCCGCCTCCTCCTCCCCCCCGCTGCCCTCCGCCGTGCCGAGGTAGGCGCGCACCTCGTTCGGCGGGAGCACGCTCCTCCAATTCTCGGCGAACCACGCCTGCGATGCCTTGTAGTCGGCGTCAAACTCGCAGTACTCGAACGGCAGCGTGGAGACGGGGCAGTAGGCGACGCTGCGCACGCGCGTCGTCTCGGGCATGTTGACGAGCTCAGCGACATCCGTCCGCGTCGCCTCGCCCTCCTCTGCCATGGCAATGGCTGAGAACGCCGGGCGCGCAAGGCGGGTCGCGTTGGACAGAGCGCTCTGCGAAAAAGAATTTTGCCGGGCTTATTTGTTTTTGGCGCGCACTGGCACTACACAGGGACATTTTATCAGTTCTTCGCGCAGCAAAAAACCGCTCCATTTATTCTTTCTCCTCTTCTTCACATTTTCCAACCCCTGTTCTTCACCTCTCTTCACCTCTGCCCCCCCCCCCCCCTCTACATTAGGAGCGCGACAGCAAAGGCCCGCGCCGTCGCCATCGGCGCCACCGCCTCCCACGCGTTCGTCACGGGATCGTACCGCTCCACCGAGCTGAGGATGCCGTCGTGACCACGCCCGCCAGCAGCGTACAGCTTGCCGTCGAGCACCGCCACGCCGAAAGCTACCCGCCGCACCGCCATCGGCGTCACCGCCTCCCACGCGTCCAAGGCCGGGTCGTACCGCTCGACCGAGCTGAGGATGCCGTTGTTGTACCCGCCCACAGCGTACAGCTTGCCATCGAGCACCGCCACGGCGTGATTCTCGCGTGCTGTCGCCATCGGCGCCACCGCCTCCCACGCGTTCGCAGCCGGGTCGTACCGCTCCACGGAGCTGAGGAGGCCGTCGTCGTCATCGCCTCCCACAGCGTACAGCTTGCCGTCGAGCACCGCCACGTCGTGGTTCTCGCGTGGTGTCACCATCGGCGCCACCGCCTCCCACGCGTTCGCAGCCAAGTCGTACCGCTCCACCAGGTTGGAAGTTGCGCCGTCCTCACTCTCGCCGCCCGCTGCGTAGAGCTTGCCGTCGAGCACCGCCGTGCCGAAAAACTTTCGTGCCGTCAGCATCGGCGCCATCGCCTCCTCCTCCCACTCATTTGTGGACGGGTCGTACCGCTCAGTCGAGTTGACAAACTCGCCATCGATGTCATCGCTGCCGATCACGACCAGGCGCGGCCTCTCGCGCTTCTTCAGCGTCTCCTTCCAGCCGCGGCACCACGCGCGGCACGTCCCCTTGGCGGCGTGCTCCGTGGTCGGCAGCTGGGCGAGGATGTGCGGGGCGAGGTCCGGCGAGAGGAGGACCTCGGAGAGGACCCACTCGGGCTGCTCCACGAGCCGAGCGGCGTGCTCCTCCGCCACGCGCAGCGCGGCGGCGCTCGCGCCCGCCTGCGCCTCGATGATGGCGCACAGCTGCGCTGGGGAGAGGCCCGCGACGCGGGCGCCGATGCGGTGGGAGGCCATGTACAAGAGGCCAAAGCGTGAAATTCTTTTTTACATTCGTTCGATATTCTTTTCCACACGCCTGGGTGAGGGTTACCCTGCAGTACGTGCTCCAAGTGCGACGACGGAAGAGACGGCAAAAAATCCGACTACCATCCCGGCCTTACACACTCACACTCGACTCTACCTAGCAGGTAGCACAGCGGCGTGGAGAAAGAGAAAGCAATCGGGAGCCCTTCCCACATCCCATCTCAAAGGCTGGCGCGAGTGTTGAGAAATCTACCAACAGCTGCGTGCCGTCGTGTTCGCGTGCGTGCCCCCGCCCGACGCAGACTCTTTAGTCGACGCGGAGCGCGTCCAGCGCCTCTTGCAGCTCCGTCACCTGGTCGAGCGCGTCGCCGAGCAAGCCCTTCGCCACGCCCAGATTCCGCAGCTGCTCCACGCCGCCGCTCGCCCGCACCTCGGTGGCGTTGTCCGCCACGTAGCGGCGGCACTGCGCGAGGAGCCGCCCGTCGCCCATCGTGTGCGCCGCCTCGAGCAGCGGCACGGCGGTCTCCGCCACGACGCTCTGCTGCAGCGCCTGCGCGCAGAGCAGCTCGAGGCGCGGCACCTGGTACATCTGCGCCAGCTGCCGCAGGGCGAGCGCGCGCTGCACTCTGCCGGCCTCCTCCTCGCCGAGGTCGAGCTCGTCGGCAAAGAGGTAGTCGACGAGGGCGGTGAAGGTGGCGAGGTCGGCATGGGGCACCGTGACCTCGGCGGCGTCGCGCTCCTTCATGCCGGCGCCAAACATGGTCCGAAAGTAGTCGGACCGCACGCAGAGCACATTCTTGCTCACGTGCTCGAGGCGCTGCCGGCCTCGGCCAACCACGAAGGTGACCATCCCCTGCGGGAGGGTGGCGTCGCCCCGCGCCTTCTTCAGGTCGGCGGGCAGGGTGGAGGGCGGGACCACGATCGGCGCAAAGGCAAACGCGTCCGGCGGCGGCGGCGGCACCAGGCAGACCAAGCAGAGGAGCGCGCTGCTGGGGGCGCCCGATCGGACCAGGAGCGTGCTGCCGTCTGCGCTCATGGCGACGCCGCCGGGGAAGGACAGCTGCGCCGACTTGCTGACGCCATCGGCGCTGCCCCAGCCCTTGCCAGCAAGAGTGGTCACTGCGCGACCGACCACCTCCACGCGGCGGATCTTGTGCCCGCTAAAGTCGGTCACAAACAGCGCGCTGCCGTCGGGGCTCATGGCGATGCCGATTGGGGCGTGGAACCGCGCCGTGTTGCCTGCCCCATCAGTCCCGCCCCTCCTTCCGCATCCCGCGAGCGTGGTCACTGCGCCATTCAACACTTCCACTCGCCGGACCTTGTCGCTGCCGCAATCCGCCACGAAGAGCGCGCGGCCGTCCGGGCTGAGGGCGAGACCGTACGGGTACTGGAACCGCGCCGCATCGCCCACGCCGTCAATGCTGCCATGGCCGACGCCCCCCGCGAGCGTCGTCACCGCGCCACTCGCCACGTCCACCCGCCGGATCCTGGCGTTGCCGGTGTCTGCGACGAAGAGCGTGCCGCCGTCCGGGCTGAGGGCGAGGTATGTCGGGCCGTTGAAATGCGCTGCGACGCCCACGCCATTAGCGCTGCCGCTGGAGCCGCTGCCCGCGAGAGTGGTGAGCGCGCCCGTGGCTGCCTCCACCTTCCGGATCGCTTGCCCGCGGCAGTCCGCCACGAAGAGCGTGCTGCCGTCGGGGCTGACAGCAATGCCTTCGAACCTGCCGCCTTCCGGGCAGGTTGCCACGCTGCGCACACTGAGCGAGTGGCGGCTCGGCTCGTACATCCGGTCGAGCGGCTCTTCCCCACCCGCCGAGAGGTGAAGCACCGAGCCACCGGTCGCGAGATACCAGGCGCCTGCGCCATCGCTTGCGACGCCGTGCACGTCGAGCGATGCCAGGGGCCCGTCATCGGGCAGCGTGAAGACCTGGCCGACGACGGGCGCGCCAAAGATGGGCGTCTCAAAGCCCGCCGCGACGCAGAACGCCGCCGCCGCCGCCGCCGCCGCCTCCTCCTCCTCCTCCTCCTCCTCCTCCTCCTCCTCCTCCTCCTCTCCGTCGCAGGCGGTGCGGGCGCGCTTGGAGGCGGATGCCATGTATGACTGCCGACGGCCGGGACCGTAGCGCCTTGACCTCGGTGTTTACTGTGAACGATGTGAGCTTGGTTGTGAACAGAGCGAAGGCGGCTTCTCTCGGTCGTCGTACTTTTCTCTCGGTCGTCGTACTTTTAGTTTAATGCGAGACAGGGTTCTTTTTTAGCCCGGCCAAAAGGGCCCTACGCGTGAGTTCATTTTATAAATACGCGTGGCGTGCGAGCTAGGAAGCGAGCTTCAAGGTGTAGCCAACATCCACCTTTTCGTGGAAAAAGAACTTAGAAAAGAAAAACGTGTCCCGCATTGCCGCTGTGTTTGCCGCTGTATTTAGTATCGCCCCCAACCCTTCGACAGCTTTCATGGCGGCCCCCCGGCGGGGGGCGTTTGTGGTCGACAAGTCTTGTGTGGGCGCTCAGGACGCCGTCTCGCCTCAACCTCCGCGTCTCCTCCTCCGGCGTGGGCCGCAGAGTGGTTCGATCGGGTCTGGCCGCCGCCGATCGTGCTTATCCGATCGGGAGGAGAGCTACTCTCCTCTGCCGGCGGACGCCAGGCAGGCGGCGGATGCTTCGCTCACTGAGCACGTCTACTCCGCCTGCCGTGCGGGCGACGCAGAGCGCCTCGAGGCGATCCTCGCCGCTGCAGAGGCTGACGGCTCGGAGGAGATAGGCGTCAGGGCTTTAGCACAGGAGTGCTGCCTCAGCCCGGGCCTCGTGGTCTGCTGCCTCCGAGGCCGGCCGCGCTGTCTCGCGCTCTTGCTCGCGGCGGGCGCCGACCCGGATGCGTCAGAGGCTCCTCCGTGCGTCGGCCGTGCGGGCGGCTTTGCGCCGCTGCGATATGCCTGCTGGGGCACGACGGCGGGGCACGTCGAGTGCGCGGAGATGCTGCTCGCCGCAGGTACCCCTCTCCTCAACCGCCGCTCTCCCGCGCACGAGGTAGGAAGGCCCGAAGGTGCCCCCTCGCTGCAGGAGCAGCGGTCGAGGCGGCGACGGCGGTGGGGCACACCCCGCTACAGGGCGCCTGCTTCAAGGGCGCCCGCGGGAGTGTGCTCCCCCTCCCCCTTGCTGCGGAAGCCTCATTCACGGCGAGCTGTTGTGGACAGGCCACCTGCCCACCGTGCGGCTGCTCTCCTCGTACGGCGCCAACCGCTCCTTCCTCCTCTCCTCCCTTCGCCTCGCCCTGACCCCACCCCCACCGCCCAACTAGGCGCCAGCCGCTCCTTCCTCCTCTCCGACACCGCCGAGTCGGTGGCCCGCAGGCAGGGCCACGGAGAGCTCGCCGCTTGGCTGGCACAGAGCCGGCACTGGACCACGCCGCTCCACCACCTCGACAGCCTCTCCCTCGCCCGCACGCGGCAGCGGAACGGACCGAGCACAGGGGCGGCGCCGATTCGGTGTCGCGCGAGAGCAGCATGTTTGCCGTTAGGCTTCTCCTCCGCGCCGGCGCCTCGCCACGCGCCGCGGCCGCGGGCGTTGCGAACGCGCCCACGCCGCTCTCCTTGGCGCGGCAGAGCTCGAGCGCGGCGGCGGCGCTGGTGCCATTTCCCACTCCGCTGCTTCCCACGCACACGCGACACACTGACACTCCGCGGCATCTACACGCGACACAGCGGCACACATCGCGCTTGGCCCCGCCTCACATGCTTGTTGTCATTCTCTCGTGTGACTAGGTGGTCGCCGCCGCAGAGCCGTGGAGCCCCGCCTCGCACGGCTTGTGGCCCGAGCGGCTGCAGCGGTTCGACCGTCGAAGTTGCGCGGCCGTGTGCTGGAACTTTCCACGACCTTTCTCGGAAGTTTCGCCTAGGCTCGCCGTCGAGCTGCTCACGCTCGGCTACTTGCTGGCGAGGGAGGTTGCGCCGAGGCGAGTCGCCCCCGTACAGACCACGCGACCCACTCGTCGCAACATTTGCCTTGCTTGGCGGCCGCGGCATGGCGGAGCCGTCCACCTCACCTCTCACCGTGAACTGCATGTGGGGTGGGTAGGCAGCAGGTCTCTTCACACTTGGTTGTGGGGCGGGTAGGCAGCCGCGCGCCCTCTCCGACGTGTGGCTGGAGTACGTCCTTCCGCTGGCGGTCTGTCGCGACGAGGCGGAGGCAAGGGCCTAGGGAAGGGCCTAGCCGCCGATATGGGCCCACCTCTGCTTGCGGCCGGGCCGGGGTCGATTGGCACTCAACAGTCAAATGCAGACTCGCGCCGTCCGCACCCAGCGGCCGCCGCTTCCATTTCTGCGCTGCTCAGTCCCCTCGAGTCAGTCCCCAGCCGGTAGCGAGGGTGAGGCAGGCCCACGCGCTCGCGACGCCCGGACTCTGGGAGGTGCCAGGTGCGCACGCAGGTGCGTCATAAAGAAGGATTGGTGAATATTCTCTCGCGAGATCGGGAATGCCCATTTAGCATTTTATTCGTTAACCGTATAAATGTAACACCAAATCGCGTCTCTATACACCTCTCACTTAAGTCTGCGATAAGCGAGTTGACGTGCTCTTCTACACAATATTGGGGGGCGCCCGGGGCGCACCCCGGCCACGAAGAGGAGAGGCGCCAGTGATGACGAAGCAGAAGCTAGTGCAGACGAGAGCAGGGCAGACCCGGGGACTGGGGAGCTGGAGCAGACGGCATCGGCCGCCGAGGGAACGTTGGGAAGAGGCACGAGGAGGGCGGCGACTTCGACCGACTATGGAGGACCCGTCGCCAGACGACGCAGGGCAGAAGACGGTGAGGCGGAGCAGACGCGCAGGGTGAGACGAGGGAGGGAGCAGGACTTTGCGGAGATCAGCAGGAGGATGTACGAAGAGATTAGGAGCAGCAGGGACCCGAGGGACCATGTGGAAGACGGCTAGTGCTAGCGCCCATCGGGAGGGGACGACCCCGGCTAGTCGCCGACCACACCCACAAAGAACCCTGCACAAAGATCGCAAGGGCGGGGGCCTCTTCCTTTTTACCCATCTCACAGTAGAGAGGTGTCCGTTTTATTTATTTATTTTACCCCGGCCACCGCGCCGCGGGCGCGCGCACGCCCCGACGGTCACGCTCGGGTGTCGATTACTCTATCGTTGCCCCACTCCCTGCTTAACAATACAATCGTGCCGAATACCGAAACTTAAATCCAGGCATCTCGCTTTCGCGGAGGCCGCGCCTTGCGCCAACGGGGCTCCTCGCCATGATTCGTCCAAAGTTGTGCCAGAGATCTCTGCCTCGTCGGCTGCGCCGTCGTGCTGCGAGGTTGGCGCCGCGCTGCTGGCCGCGAGGGTGCGGCGTCCGACTCTAAGAGCTTTGGCTTCACAGGCAAGGAACCCACCTCTGCCCGACTCCGCTTCGGTGCCTGGGGTGAGGGGGGAGCATCGGCCGCTGAGGTGCCGGGAAGCATAAGCTCCGCCTGCAACTGCCCCTCCGCCAGGGTCACCGCCTTGACCCAACGCTCGAGAAAGTCGTAGTCGACTGGTGGCACATCGTCCAGCACGCTCTTCGGCGGCAGCGGTGGCGGACTCGTCGTCGGCAGCGGTGGCGGCAGCGCCGATGGCAGCGGTGGCGACCTCGCCGGCGGCCGTGGTGAAGGCCTCGCCGGCGGTTGCGGCAGCCTTGATGGTGGCAGTAAGAGCGGCCTTCCCGGTGGCCTTGCCGGTGTCGGCGGCGGTGTCGGGCTGAGTGCCGGTATACCCGCCGTCGAGGCGGTCGGTGGTGTCAACGGCGGATGCGACGACGGCGGCGAAGAGGAGGTGGCATGGTCAGGGTAGCCATCCGCATGCTCTGGAGCAGCAGCTTTGCCTGTCTGGTGGCCTGCTGGCGTCCGTCGGAGTAATCGCATGCCCACAAGAAAGACACAAGTTAAGCAGAGCAGAGTGGTCGGAGTGTTCAGGTCGTGTTCGTCTGCAATGCCGCTAAGCGCCTCTGCCTGATCGAGCTGCCCATGCTCAATGAATCTCCGAGTTCGTCCGACGGCTTCTTTGGCGATGAGCGCCGCTGTGGGCAGGGCGGACGCAAGTGCGAAGAGCGCCGGCGCGGAACCAGTCGCAGCCGTGATGGCCGACGCGGATCCCCGCCCCGCTAAAGCAGTGAGGGCGGATGTGCGCACGGCGCGGACTAGCACCAGCTGCCACGCCGGCCAGCGTGAGGCGGTGCGGAGTCCGCGTGGGATGAACCGGGCTGCCCCATGAACCGGAAGCAGCCTCTGGAGCCTCTGGAGCAGAGCAAGCGAACCACATGTGGCCGGCGGTACCGCCGCCTGCTGTATCGGGCGAAAACCCAGGGAGATTAGCTTCGCAGAAGTCTGCTTGAGGGAGTTGAACGCCCGCCCCACTCCCCAAGCGCCATCGCCCGTGTGGCTGCGCAGCGCATGTCGCACCCTCTCCCATCGGCTCGCCTCCCATCGGCTCTTGGACAGGGCGAGCCTGGCGACTGCCAGCCTGTCGATCGCCTCGACGAGGGCGTCCATGCGGTCCCCCAAACTCTCGCCGCCGCTCCTCCGCCGTTGCAACTTCGGCTCGGCGGGCACCTCCAACGAAGTGCCAACACGGCGCAAAAACGGTTACACGACGAACATTACGCCGACGATGGCCGAGTCGGCGGCGACACTGCCAAGGTCGCCCCGCCAGCAGCTGGCGGAGCTGCGACTGGATCGCTCCGCACGCGAAGCGCTGGACGCCAGAGTCCGCTGCAGCCGCCGCTCGCGAAGCGGCAGCACACCAAGCTCCTCCCGTGGGAGCACTCCAAGCAGCTCGCACGGCCCACGCCTGAGGGGCGTCCTGGAGGCGCAGAGGGCGAGCTGGCGAGCGCACGCCGCAGATATGGCTTCGCCGCGCCACGTGGCGTGCGACACAGGGACGCCGTGCACCGCTGGCCGACGCGCTCGCCCCGCTCCACTCAGCTTTGGGCGTTCACTCACCGACTCTGAGCGGGTCTCTGCCGCCGCCGCTGCCGCGGCAGTAACCCCGCACATAGAGGCGGCGCCGACCTCGGACGCATGGCCAGGCGCGCCACGCGGCATCGCAGCTGCGTATTGGAGAGGCGCCGCGTTTGACGCGACGCCGCGCCCGGCGGCGACCGCGGCTCCTCTGCCTCGATCAAGGCAGCCGTTCATCGACGTGTCGGAGCTGCGACGGCGGCAGGACGTGAGGCAGCGAGACGTTGTCAAGGAGGTTGTCGCCCACTCACCACGCGCCGCGCCGTCGGAGAGGGCTGAGCTTAGGAGGGCGCGCCAATGCGCAGAGGCGGCGGCGGCGGCGGGCGCCGAGCTGGAGGCGTCGGGGCTGATGGCCGCGGACATGGCGGTGGATCGGCTGCTGCTGTCAACGGGGCTGTCAATCAAGAGGAAAGGTGGGTGACGGTGGCGCTTTTGGGCTGCGAGAGCCTGCATAGGGGGCCGCCCCAAATGCGGGGCCGCCCCTAGGAATTACCACACGGGAGCTTTGACTTCGAGCTGCGCTGCCCGCGATCCCCCCCCCACCCCACCCCCACTGTGTGTGCATACACGCTCCGGAAAGTCCTGAAGATCAAGTGCGTACTTGGGCCTTTGGGGGCGCAGCGCACGCACGCGACGTACAAAGCAATGAAGAAGTTTCGCGACCGACCGGCCGCTACACTCGTGACTCGAGTGGTAGGAGGCGTCTCGCCTTGCTAAGGGGAGGTCCCGAGCACAGTACCCATCCCCTCCTTCTATCTAGGAGCACTATAGTGCGTCATTAACCTCAGACCCAGGGCCGGGGAGCTAAGAAGCGCACCCAGGATGATCGGTATCGGCGGGGTTGCGGGCAAGAGAGCCCTAGCCCTGGGGGTGCGCGTTCGCTGGGAAGGGCACTTGGAGTACGGGCGCTACCCAACGCGGCCAACTTCGAGATCTACACTTGGAGCACTTGGAGTGCAGTCGGTAACCTCACATCCAGGGCCGGTGAGCTGAGAAGCGCATCCAGCGGGCCGGATGATCGGTATCGGGTTACGGGCTAGAGAGCCCTAGCCCCGGGGGTGCGCGTTCGCAGGGCAACCAAGGGCTGTAAAGTAAACACGGGTCTAGGGGAGAGGGCCTGGTGGCGGAGGAGAGGGCGGCGGAGGAGAGGGTGGCGGTGGAGGGGGTGGTTGAGGGGACGGTAGCGGTGACGTCAGTAGAGGAGACGGTGGCGGCGGAGAGGAAGGTGGGGGGGAGGGGGGGGGGCTTGGCGGGGGAGGGGGGGGCGGCGGAGGCGACGGGGAAGCCGGAGGGGATGACGGTGGGGGGGCCGGCGGCGGGGAGGGCGGTGGCGGAGATGGCGGTGGCGGGGGGGGAGGCGAAGGTAAGGGCGGAAGGCTCGGTGGAGGCGGAGAGGGCGGCGAAGGAGGGGATGGTGATGGAGGAGGCGGCCAAGGGGAGGGCGGCGGCGGTGGAGGTGGTAGGGGGGACCGCGGTGGCAGGGAGGGGTCCGGGGGCGGGGGAGGTAGGTAGGGCGGAGGAGAGGGGGGCGGCAACGGCGGTGGAAGAGGCGGAGGGGGTGATGGCGCATAGGGCGGGGGCGGTGGGGACGGCAACGGAGTTGGTGATGGCGGAGGGGGAGGTGGAGGTAAGGGCGGGGGACTTGGTGGGGGCGGAGACGGCGGTGGCGGGGATGGTGGTGGCGGGGAGGGCAGTGGCCGGTGCGACGGCGGTAGCGCAGCCGGTGTCAGGGGCGGCGGAACCGGCGATGGAGGCGTGTGGGGCGGTGCACGCTGGGGCTCGGCCCCAAGTGCGCTGGCCTCGCGTCTCGAGGGGAGGGCGGCTCGTAACTGAGGTTCGCCGTCAGAGACAGTCGTCCTCCCCTCCTCGGCCGGGCAACTAGGTCATTGAGGCCCCCCCCGGGGAAGAGACCGAACGGCCGGCCGACACTCTCGGCCATTCCAACGGCCAGGCCGCTCGCTTAAGGCTGATTGGCTAGACGAGCGGCCTACCTCCAATGGGGCTGTCTGGGAACGCGTGGATCCGGCCCGCCCCCCGGCGGGTTACGGTTTAGCGCTGACAGTCACCCCATGGGCAGTCTGGATCACGGGGGATGACATCCTGCCTACCGGCGCGCCGGGAGGAGGTGGGTGCTCCGCCGCCGGACCGCCCCCTCCACCACCCTCGCCCAGGGATCTACAATGCTGTCTTAAGGTCCGACAGGTTCGG